CCTCATCCTCGCATTGTGCATGGATCCCCAAGAGGTCCTGGAGGGTCTCCGTGGGCAGCTCCAACTTCTGGTCCATCAGCTCCATGTAGCGGCCAGTGGCTTCGAGCACGGCCGCCGAATTCTCAATCTGAGCCAGAGCCAGCACTGCGTTCTCCATGCAGGGCACGCCCCCGCTGCGGATCGTGTCCACGTAGGTCTCCACCAAGTTTGCTAGCACTGCAAAGGAAACAGCAATAGAGATGGTTGTGGCATCACATAGATTCAGCTGCTTTGGCTGATGGCTGCCCACGGGAGATCGTACTTTCAGTGTAAGAACTCCCAAGGAAAATAAAGCTGAGTGGGCCTTCGTAACTTAGGGAACAAGTGCTAGATCTCTGCTCCACTCTGCCTACTGCGCCACTGGTGAGGAACTGAGTAGTGGTGTAATCTACGCTCTGGGAGACTCCTAGCCATTATTTGTAGAGGGGGTGGGGGAAGCAAAAGACAGGGGGGAAAGACCTAAAGAAAGAGATGTACATATTCAGGACATAATAAACCTCTTGAGAACTGGATAGATAAAATGTAAGAATACGCTGTTGTGGCAAAACTGACAAACTTCATTAATCAGAGATCGGGAGATGAATGTGAAAATAACTGGTGAGTTTTCTACGATTAACCAATCTTTGTAGTCATGCAGTTGGAATAGTTTATATGATACGATAGTTTCAGTATGAAATACTAATGGTGTTTTCTTTTGTATGATTATTGTCACAACAAACTTTTATGTTAAAATTATGCACAAAGTTTTATGAGGTTATTCATGGGTTAGCATATAACTGACAAGATAAAAATGTTAATATATTATGAGAAAATGGTAGAATGTTGAGTAGGTTGTTATAGTGGTTTTTAACATTAGCATTTTCCTAAAAATTCAAGTATTTGAATCAAGGATTGTCCTTTATATTTGCAAAAAATGCCCTTTATACTATGTTTTGATAATTTTACCTTTTATTTTACCCCTTACCCCATTTTATTATGTATTCCCTCAAAAAGTTCAAAATGATTTTTTAAAAGAAGAACTTAAAACTTGGTCCCATGCTGTAGGTTGGGGTCCAAAGCGGATCCTGTAAACAGAAAGACTGGACATTTTTTTAAATCATCAGTGACCCACCATGACCAAGGAAGAAACTACTAAGTTATAAGCACTTACAGCGCCCAGTGACGACATGCCCTCCTGGGATGGTCTTTGGCTTGGATGTCTTATAGACGTGACGGCAGAACTGGAGCGCTTGCTGCACAAAGTCGGGGTCCAGCTCCCTCTCCTCCATGTCCTCCAGCCGGTGCAGGTTCTTTCGGGTGGTGGGGCGCTCAAAGATGAAGCATTTCCGGGTGGGGAAGAACAGCCGGATGCATTCGCGGGGCAGGTTGAAGACGTGAACCTCACGGGACATGCCTAGAAGGAATGAGAGGGAGATCAGCAGCTGGAGATGGAGCTGCCGGCACAAAGACTCTTGGGAGTCTAACTCGGCAAGGGGAAGGGGATCCATATCAGTTGGGGAAGATCTGTCGTTCACCCACAAATGCGAAGAATGCTGTTAAAAAAAAGAGACTTACTGCTAATGTTTTACACCTAATTTTGCAATCTTACAGGTGGCTTCGTATGTTTGGCTGGTTTTACTCTGACTCTATTTTCTTACATTTATTGGATCTGAATTTTCTGTTGCTGTCACCAACTGCCTTCAAATGCTGTCGACAGAACATGAAAGCATTAAAATCCACAAAAATGCCTTATTGCTAAAGTGAATGCTCCACCTCGCCTCTTTTAAGCAACTGGGAGGCTGGATTTGGCCCAGGTTGCTGTCTGCGAATGCTGTACTGATCTCCACCACATATTTGCGGTCAGTACCTTTCTTTAACTTCAAGGCGTTTTCCAGATATTCGTCCTCAGTGCAGGGCCGCCCGTTCAGCTCCAGCTGCAACGTGAAATCCCTCAGGGCCCAGATGAACGTTGGGAAGAAGCGGACATACTCGGCGGAATCTTCCAGTGCCTCCGGGTTCCCCTCAGGCGAAGACTTGGATTTGATGCGCTCAGTCAGTTCTGTCACGTAACTGTCGGCCCGGCTCAGGAAAATCCCAACAATTGGGGTTTTTTTTAATAAATATTTGTGCATTTATTGCCAGTTAAATATATGAAAATGGGGCCCAGCAAAGCTTGCCTAATATATTTTCTCCATTTTCTTATTAACATGTTTGTGTGTGTTGGGAGATCGGGGGGAATACAACCTTGGGCTCCACAAAAGCTCCCCAGAAGAGCCTTCCTTGCAAGCTTTACTGTATAAAAGACCATTTTTTTCCCCTTTGAACGTCTTCAAGAGATTTGCAGAATTACTGAGACTGCATCGGCAAGTTTTTTTTTCAGGCTGTCTCCAACCCATCTCTATAATGGACCTTAGATCTTCCTAAACGTATTATCCCTTTCTTCATGTAACTTATTCACAAAGACTCCTGGGAGTCTAACTCGGCAAGGGGAAGGGGATCCGGATCAGTTGGGGAAGATCTGTCATTCACCCACAAATGCAAAGAATGCTGTTTTAAAAAAAGAAAGACTTCTTGCTAATGTTTTACACCTAATTTTGCAGTCTTACAGGTGGCTTTGTAAATTAGGCTGCTTTTACTCTGACTCTATTTTCTTAAGTTTATTGGATTTGAATTTTCTGTTGCTGTCACCAACTGCCTTCAAATGCTGTCGTCAGAACATCAAAGCATTAAAATCCAGAAAAATGCCTTCTTGCTACAATGAGTGCTCCACCCCACCTCTTTTTCTTGGACTTAAGCAACTGGGAGGCTGGATTTGGCCCAGGTTGCTGTCTGCGAATGCTGTACTGATCTCCACCACATATTTGCGGTCAGTACCTTTCTTTAACTTCAAGGCGTTTTCCAGATATTCATCCTCAGTGCAGGGCTGCCCGTTCAGCTCCAGCTGCAACGTGAAATCCCTCAGGGCCCAGATGAACGTTGGGAAGAAGCGGACATACTCGGCGGAATCTTCCAGTGCCTCCGGGTTCCCCTCAGGCGAAGACTTGGATTTGATGCGCTCAGTCAGTTCTGTCACGTAACTGTCGGCCCGGCTCAGGAAAATCCCAACAATTGGGGTTTTTTTTAAATAAATATTTGTGCATTTATTGCCAGTTAAATATATGAAAATGGGGCCCAGCAAAGCTTGCCTAATATATTTTCTCCATTTTCTTATTAACATGTTTGTGTGTGTTGGGAGATCGGGGGGAATACAACCTTGGGCTCCACAAAATCTCCCCAGAAGAGCCTTCCTGACATGCTTGCAAGCTTTTCTGTATAAAAGACCATTTTTTCCCCTTTGAACGTCTTCAAGAGATTTGCAGAATTACTGAGACTGCATCGGCAAGTTTTTTTTCCAGGCTGTCTCCAACCCATCTCTATAATGGACCTTAGATCTTCCTAAACGTATTATCCCTTTCTTCATGTAACTTATTTGGGTACACCAGCATCTTTCACCAGAGTAGTCCCCTTATGAGGCCTGGCACAGCAGTGATGGCAGAATTGATCCCTGCCAAGTATTTTCCTGACACACAATAAGGTACAAAACAACAACATTTGAGTCCAGTGGCATCTTTAAGACTGTTATACGCACAGTTTATGAAACACTGTTATGCACTCAACACTCTGTCTGACTTAGTAGGCTAACCTTAGTGGACTCAGCCCCTCTGACATACACAGACATGTTGTTGTTGTTCAGTCGCACAGTCGAGTCCGACTCTTCGCGACTCCATGGACCAGATCACGCCAGGCCTTCCGGTCTTCCACCGTCCTCTGAAGTTTGCTCAACTTCATGTTCGTTGCATCTGTGACACTGTCTAACCATCTCATCCTTTGCCGTCCCCGTCTTCTTTGGCCTTCAGTCTTTCCCAGCATCAGGGTCTTCTTCTCCAGTGAGTGCTCCCTTCTCATTGGGTGGCCAAAGTATTTGAGCTTCAGCTTCATTATCTGGCCTTCCAGGGAACAATTCCAGGGTTGATTTCTTTTAGGATTGACTGATTTGATCTTCTTGCAGTCCAAGGGACTCTCAAGAGACATGCAGATCTGTTAAGTGCCATTGATGATTCTAATCACAGTAACTGAAACCAATCATGAACATATATTCAGATATTGCCTTTGGTTCATTGCTTGAAATGCATGTTGGGAAGAAAGCTAAAATGCTAATACACAGTTATGCTAACCGTGAACTTGCTTGCTACAGCCAGCTTTAACCGCGCATGTTCCTGACGCAAGTGAATTTACCAGATGTACCCATCGCTGCTATATTAGATACTTTTATAAACCTCATGTGCTAGAACAGAGAAAAGGCCTATTGTTTGATAGAAGGAGGTACCGTTTTGCCTGGGAAACTACAGCCCCTCAGGTCCAGGCCCAATCAGAATTGTGACTGACAAAGTTTGATGGAACCAATAATTATGATTTATTTGTAAGCGTCATATGGAGTATAAAACCCTATGTCTCCCATTGTAGCCCTAGGGAGAGTTGTGGGATCTAAACATTATTGGACCTTCCTCCTTTATTGATCAATAAAGTACAAGATCTGATTCTGCTGTACAAGATTGTGCTGAATGTTTTCTCAAATTGGGCCAGGGAAACACACACACAGATTATACAGATTATTTTCTGTTCATCAAGACCAACAAAGTTTTACTCGAGGAATAGCTTTTGTGTGCACGCATACTTCTTGTCTAAAAAGTATCCTCTTAGGCAATTCTAAGAAGAGCTCCACCATTCTAAGCCCACTGAAGTCAATTCTTGAACACTCCCCTTCAATAAGAAAAGCAAACTCCCGAGGAGCAGAAAAGGAGCACAACATGGAAAGGGGTGGGCTAGAACCCGTCCATCCATGATGCGCTAGTTTTCCGCCTGACTGGAATTTGGACATTCACCTGCCACTTGCCAACCAAAGAAATACAGCCCATTCCACCACTTCTGCATCCTACTACCTCATTCTGCTGCTACACTTAGGATCTGTGATGGTTAATCGCTCCCCTCACACGGTCTCTTACCACAATTTCAATTTGTGCTGGTAAAGCTATTACATCCCAGACCTCTTCCACTCACCCCCCTGGGAGTCACTGGTCATAAATTATCTCCAAGTGAAAATAATCAGTAGCCACTCCAACAGAAAATCCTTCAAAACTAGGTAGTAATCAGTGTTCCCTCTAAGCTGAGTTAGTGTGAACTAGCTCACAGTTTCTTAGCCTCCGGCTCACACATTTTTGTCTTAGCTCAGGAAGGACGGCTCCAGAGCAAACTAATTAATGCAGCAGCCAAATGGCTCGCTCACAACTTTGATGCCAGTAGCTCACAAAGTAGAATTTTTGCTCACAAGACTCCACAGCTTAGAGGGAACATTGGTAGTAATGTGGGTGATCTTCCACATAAGAACAGTTCTCAGATACACGATTTTTCACTTGGAAACAAACTGGTAACGAGCACCATAACCTCAGAATGAATCTTCAGAGAAAACTCTGTCACTTATTGCAGTCTAATTTATGGCCTATCACCGCTGTTCATGGAATGTTACCCTAGGCAACGAAAGAACAGGGCCCGGGCAGGCCTACTTCGAACACGAGGGACTCCCAGGAAGCAGCATAAGATCTGCACCACAACTAGAGATTCGGGAGGATACTGGAGCTGGTCCATGGCATGCTGGTCGATGGTGCCCATGCTGTTGTAGACCAGGGTACTGCTGAGGAGGACGGCCAGAGCAAAGATCCAGGAATCATTCTGGGCATCACCCTGACAACAAACAAATGGAGAATGCTTAAAATTACAATTTCTACTCAGAATTGCTGAAGGACAGGCCCCAAAGAGAAAGTGACAGATCACTATATGGTCACCTACAGGTCCCAAATCATAAACCATCTACAGCCCAACTTGGAAAACAACACTTTCCTCTTCCACAGCTAGGGTTGCCAACCTCCAGGAAGGACCAGGAGATCGCCTGGAATTACTACTAATACCAGTCAAATCAATCAGGACCCAAAGCAGCTTACAACATTCTCCCCTCCTCCATTTTATCCTCACAACTACCCTCACAGGTAGGTTAAGAACATAAGAGACGCCAATGTTGGATCAGGCCAAAGGCCCATCCAGTCCAACACTCTGTGTCACACAGTGGCCAGAAATACCAGTGCCATCAGGAGGTCCACCAGTGGGGCCAGGACATTAGAAGCCCTCCCACTGTTGACCCCCCCCCCAAGCACCAAGAAGACAGAGCATCACTTGCCCCGGAGCCCCTATCTATACCTTGTGGCTAATAGCCACTGATGGACCTCTGCTCCATATGCTTATCTAATTCCCTTTTGAAGCCGTCCATGCTTGTAGCCGCCACCACTTCCTGTGGCAGTGAATTCCAAGTGTTAATCACTCTTTGGGTGAAGAAGTACTTCCTTTTATCTGTTCTAACCCGACCGCTCAGCAATTTCATGGAGTGCCCACGGGTTCTTGTATTGTGAGAAAGGGAGAAAAGTACCTCTTTCTCTACCTGCTCTTTCCCATGCATAATCTTATAAACCTCGATCATGTCACCCCTCAGTCGTCTTTTCTCCAAGCTAAAGAGCCCTAAGCGCTTTAACTTTTCCTCATAGGGAAAGTGTTCCAACACTTTTATCATTCAAATTGCCCTTTTCTGCACTTTTTCCAAAGCTGTAATATCCTTTTTAAGGTGTGGTGACCAGAACTGCACACAGTATTTCAAATGAGGTCTCACCATTGATTTATATAGGGGCATTATGATATTGGCTGATCTGTTTTCAATACCCTTCCTAATAATCCCCAGCATAGCATTGGCCTTCTTTATTGCAGTCACACACTGTCTCGACATTTTCAGTGAGTTATCTACTACAACTCCAAGATCTCTCTCTTGATCAGTGTCTGCCAGTTCAGACCCCATCAATGTGTATTTATATTTAGGATTTTTGGCTCCAATGTGCATCACCTTGCACTTGGCCACACTGAACCCCATTTGCCATGTTGACGCCCACTTGCCCATCCTTGACAGATCCCTTTGGAGTGCCTCACAATCCTCACTGGTTTTCACCACCCTGAACAACTTCGTATCATCCACAAATTTAGCCACTTCACTGCTTACTCCCATCTCCAAATCATTACTGAACAAGTTAAAAAGCAGTGGACCAAGTACTAATCCCTGCGGTACCCCACTGCTTACCACCCTCCACTGAGAAAATTGCCCATTTATACTCACTCTCTGTTTTCTATGAATTAGCCAGTTTTTGATCCATAAAAGGTTAGGCTGAGAGTGTGTGACTGGCCCGACATCTTCCAAGTGAGCTTCTATGGCACCAGTCGGGATTCAGACCTATGCTTCCCAGAGACTAGTCCAACACTCTTAAGCACTACACGGGCTCTGAATTTATTATTAGGTTTAATTTATTAACCAGGACATAAACATATCTGACATCATTCTTACTCTTCCTCAATGTTTAGCGTAACTACTTATCAGCAATGACAGATGGTGCAAATCGGTAGCGCACTTATCTTATACACTACGATACACTTACACAGTGAGAGCCAGTTTGGTGTAGTGGTTCAGAGCGCGGGCTCTAATCTGGGAGAACCAGGTTTGATTCCCCACTCCTCCACATGCAGCTGCTGGTGTGACCTTGGGTCAGTTACAAATTCTTTCAGAACTGTTCTCTCAGGAGCAGTTCTCGAGAGAGCTCTCTCAGCCCCACCTACCTCACAGGTTGCCTGTTGTGGGGAGGGGAAGGGAAAGGAGATTGTAAGCGGCTCTGAGACTCCTTTGGGTAGTGAAAGGCGGGGTATAAATCCAATCTCTTCTTCTTCTTCTAACTTCTATACCAGAGATCCCCATCTAATATGGAGTTTCCTACCACCTACTTGCTTCATCCCCATAGCATATCTTCCCTAAAGGAAAGAGGCAATCGTGACTTTCCTCCACTTCAGTGGAATAAGCAGTACTTCAAAAGACCCCAGGAGGCATCACCTTTGTGTCTACAGGGAACATCCATTTAAAAAAAAAAAAAAACCTACCTCCATCGTGGGACCATGATTGGTGTGGAACCTCCCAATGTTTTATGATTGGACCAGCTCTAACAACAGCCATTTTGTGATTAGTCCCACCCCTCTTAAGGCAGCCACTGGTGTGGAACCTTGTTTTGAGATTGGATCCACCCCTCACAGAAGCCATTTTGTGATTGGCTCCACCCCTCCCGTGGCAGCCATTGGTGTGGAACCTCCCAATATTTTGACATTGGACCCGTCTCTCACCGCAATCATTTTGTGATTGGCCCCACCCCTCCTGTGGCAGCCACTGGTGTGGAACCTCACAATGTTTTAAGATTGGACCCAGGTCTCACAGAGGCCATTTTGTGACTGGTCCCACCCCTCCCACGGCAGCCATTTTATCGCCACACCCTCCACCTGCACTCAAAATTCCAAAAGTGTCCACAGGTTTGACAAGGTTTACACCCCCGTTGTATACTCTTGAGTTTTATAAAGAAATGTTAAACAACGCCTCTTACATTTCATATCCTTTTAACTCACTCTTTGCTCTGCTTTCCTTCCTGTTGGGTACATATTTCTGTCGACTGAGCTTTCATTTAATGGATATAGTTAATCTACTGCACAAAAACTTATACATCAATAAATATGTTGGCCTCTAAAAGGCCCAGGAGTTCATTTTGTCAGAGAGTGACTAAGCAGCCACCAGATATATCTTTGAAGGGCAAAGTTCCCGGCTTCGTGAAGAAACTTTGGGTGTGGCTACAGAAGTAGGAACTTGCAGACATTGACCCCAGCCATGAAGCAGTTAAGGAGGAGATTTTTCTCACTGCTTATTCTCACGTCAGAAACCAGCTTCTGTTTACAGGGCTTCTGTGCCCAACACAACAGCAGAAATCAAACAGGTGCAGCATCCCACCCATGCAGAGATGTCCAAATCACCTTTTCCACATCACCGAGTCCCTCTGTATCCAGAAGCACAAGGGTATGGTCTGGTCTGCCAGGGTAGGGAACACACCACATCCAGATACCCTTGGTGTTGGCTTGCACTGTTGAGCCCAGAGGGAAACCTAGGTACAGATTTCACATTTTAGAAGCAAGGAAACAGTTGGAAATGTATAAATCAGAACTGGCTGAGCTGATGCAATTAGGGTAGCCTCCCTTTGTTTTGGAGGGGTTCCTCTGTTTATTTAACATATTCATTAAAAAAATTTCTATGCTGCCTTTCCACCCAAATACTTTAGCAGTCTGTGTCAAGCAGAAATTCAAAGGGTACAGTATTCCAAGTACTGATGGGGAACATTAAACATCTACTTTCTGGGCTGCTGAAGAAGACACGCACAGACTTTTAAAAGAACAGCTTGTTTTACAGCAGGAAACATTATTCTACATCTTCTACAGATTCAATAAAATGCAGGAAAACAAAATTACAGGCTAACTGTCTCTCTCTCACCTGAGTTCTTGCCCGCTAGTTTGTTCATGAGGTACGATTTGCCCGTTCGGTACAGTCCCACAATGGCCACCACCACCACGGGCTGACGGATTCCAGAGAGCAGCTGAAGGGCTTCCTGATGGACAACCAACTTCCTGTCCTTGTTCTCGATCAGGCACACAGGAGCTGGCATCTGGATTTTGGAGGCCATTGCTCACAGCCTGGATGATCTGTCGTTGGGGCAGTAGAGAAGAGAAACAACAGCAATTAGCAAGCGGTACATTTCCTCGTGTCTCTTAACTAGAACGCTGGACATTCTACAGTTTTGCGACTGCAAAACATTCAAGTCCGTAGCTACCGTGGGGCCTCTCGGGGCCTAGCCCCCCTACTTACCACCAAGCCCCCAACTTCCCATGCAGCCCAGCCCCCCCCCCAGTTCTATTGCTTAATTTTATTTGTGGCGATTGCGGGGGGCGAGATGTGTGTGCCTGGTGCCTCCCGACTTATTTAAAGGCTCCCCGAATTTAAAAAATCCTGGCTACAGGCCTGAACACATTTTAATTCAAAGTCAGAATTCTTTGAGGAAACACCCATAAACTGAGGAATATCAACCTAGAAGCTACCTGTCAGAAGGCTCATCAGGAGCTGGGAATCAGCAGGCTATCTTTTCAAGCCAGGAAGTTACAATCAGACACGACAAAATTCTTACATTATCGGTTTCAGTACTTTGGGAACGCCTTTCTCACAGTTTGTGATTGCTAAGCCAAGGAACTTCCAAAAATTCTTCAGAGAAACAGTATTTCTAGAAACGCGGTTTGTATAACCATGGTTGGAGTTTCTGTGTCCAATTAATACTGACAATTATCCTATTAAAGTTTCCTTACACATCTGATTCTAAACATTCTCAGGAGATGGGCTCCGGTTGGAAATGCTAGTCAGATAATGGTCGAGACCTGTGGAGGGCTCGGTTCATATTCCTGCTTGCCTTGAGGCCAGAAATTCCCTCTCCGTCTACCCTACCTCCCAGGGCTATTGTAAGAATACAGTGGAGGAGGAGAGGAGTACTATGGATGTCTCTCTGACCTCCTTGGAGGAAGAATTTTTTAATGCACTAAATAAATTTTTAAAAATAAGCTTGTGCAGGTGACAGATGCTCTGGTCTGGAAGTCCAACTTTATACATATAGATTGGGGGTGTGAGGGAAGAGAGCCAGTGTGGTCTAGAGGTTAAGGGTCTCAAACTACCGTGTTTCCCCGAAAATAAGACACTGTCTTATATTTATTTTTTCTCAAGAAGTCACACTAGGGCTTATACCACAAATGCATAGAAATCCTGCTAGGGCTTATTTTTGGGGTAGGTCTTATTTTCGGGGAAACAGGGTAGTATCTAGGCCTATGGTTGAGGATAGCAATGGTTGCTGGGACGAAATGGCTGCCAGGCCTTAAAATGGATGCCAGCCTGGTAGTTCCTTACAGGTGTGTGTGGGGGTACTCCATAGGGAACAGTGGAGCTGCCATACCTCCCTGCCTACACTTCCCAGCAGCCTTGAGGGGTAAGAGCGGGGAAAGAGGGACACACCCCAGGGGCGGGGCCAAGGAGAAAGTGGCTTTTTGGCTCCTGAGGGGAAAAGTCTCAGTCTCAGCCTGGTCTTCAGCGTGGACGGCAGGTTCCAGGGAGAGCACAGGTGGGACTCCTGTCACCAGAGAGTCCGTGGGCCATCCAGGCCACCATAGATCGTGGTGGAGAGCCAGGAGGGTGGCAGGTACTGGTGGCCAGTCCTGAACAGGAGGGCTGGAGTTTCTCTCCACAACAGGAGAGGGAAACACAAATCCGGGCCTGAGGCCACAATCCACTACGGAGGTAGAGAGGGTGTGTGGGTAGGGACAGAGGAATTGCGTTTCGATCCTGTTTGTTTTGTGTGCCCAAGTTGTGCTGAAGTGCCCGTGTTTATTGTCTGTGCCCAATTTGTATATAGTTAAATAAATCTTCCTTTTCTGAGTTTAAAAAGCCTGGTGTGCCTTAACCACATAGTCCTCCCCGCTCTGCATGTTACCAGGGGCAAAGCCAGGGGACACAAACGGGCCTAAATCTGAGGGGTTGCCAACTGTCCAGGGGGCGCCCAAAGATCGAGGTACCCACTTCCCAAGGTGGGGAAATTAGCCAGAGGGGTCCCACTGTCCCTCAAGGAAGGTGGTGACTTAATTCAGTGAGTGGTGGCAGCGTTAATAAAGAGAAATAGTCCCACCAGGCAGGGTGGGAAGGTCTAAACGGGCTTGCGAGCCACAGGACGGCACCCCAGTCTCCCAGGGCTGAGGGCGGGTCCCCATTTCACCACAGTTGCCATCAAACCTGACCTCCTTTCACCACCCCTCCCTCATGGCCACGTTCCTTTAATCGCCTTCTGGAATAATTTAATTTTTTTGTTAATTTTAATTGTTCATTGTTCTAATCTGATTATAATTGATTTATGTACTCACTGACACATTATACACCACCCTGAGCCCTGTGCACAGGGGAGGGCGGTCTAGAAATCAAATAAACAAACAGAAGACCCTAGTTCAAATTCCCACTCATGCTAAGGAGTCCCACTGGGTGACCTCAGGCCAGTCACATTATCTCAGTCTAACCGACCTCACAGTAGGGTTGCCAGGTCTGATTTGAAAAATACCTGGAGACTTTGGGGGTAGAGCCAGGAGAGGGCAGAGTTTGGGGAGGAGAGAGGCCTCCGCATAGTACAATGCCCTAGAGTTCCCCCTTCAAAGCGGCCCTTTTCTCCAGGGGAGCTGATATCTGCCAGCTGGAGATGAGTTGTAAAAGCGGGAGATCCCCGGGCCTCACCTGGAGGTTAGCACCCCTACCTCACAGGGTTGTTTTGACAATAAAATGGAGGCAAGGAGAATGGGGTAAGCTGCTCCCCACTGGGGAGAAAGGCATGGTTAAAAACAAACTAATAAATATCCCTTTCCTGTTTGGTCCTCCCAAAAGCAAAGTTACGCCTTAAAGCCATTGGCGTGTAACTCTGCTTAAGACTAAAATGCTAAGACTCCTCACTGGAGCCGAGATCCCGGCCCCCCTCGGCCCCCTGCGCACCTGTTACTTGGGGGCAATGTTCCCTCTAAGCTGCGGAGTCTTGTGAGCAAAAATTCTACTTTGTGAGACGCTGGCATTAAAGTTGTGAGCAATGTTCCCTCTAAGCCGTGGAGTCTCATGAGCAAAAATTCTACTTTGTGAGCTACTGGCATTCAAGTTGTGAGCGAGCGATTTGGCTACTGCATAAACTAGTTTGCTCTGGAGCCCTCCTTCCTGAGCTAAGACAAAAATGTCTGAGCCAGAGGTTAAAAACCTGTGAGCTAGCTCACACTAACTCAGCTTAGAGGGAACACTGGAACTTGTGAGCGAGCGATTTGTCTACTGCATAAATCAGTTTGCACTGGAGCCCTCCTTCCTGAGCTAAGACAAAAATGTCTGAGCCAGAGGTTAAAAACCTGTGAGCTAGCTCACACTAACTCAGCTTAGAGGGAACACGCGGGGGGGGGGGGGGATTCGCTGCGAGCTCCATTCAAGAGCCGGCGACCCGCTTGCAAAGTCAGGCTCACGGGTTTCAAGCGCACTTACTCCCGCGGAAGCCCGCTACGTTTGCAGTCCGAGTTCTTCCCAGCGGCTTCAGAGCAGCTCTCATTACCGCCAGGATGGGAAAGGGATCGGGGCCCTCGTTCTGCGGCTTCCCCAAAACCACTCCTGAAGAACCCGGGCCAAGTGTGGGGCAGGCAGCCCCACGCCTTACCGTCTCCCTGCAGTGAAAACCGGAGCGGGCTGCGGTCTCCCCAGCGTCTCGGCCCCCCGCAGTCAGTCTGCCCGCCTCTCCGTCCCTTCTCCTTTTTCAGTGTTTTACAGCCAAGAAAATGAAACCGAAAGTCATCCCTTACAGTTACTGGCCACCGGGTTCCTGAAACGTCCGGGAGTTTCCCAGGCAAGTGACGCAATCGCAAGATTGCCTGCTCAAGGCTGGGAAATACCTTGAGATTGGGAGCCGTGGAGGCTGAGGAGGGCGGGGTTTGGGGAAGGGAGGGACTTCAATGGGGTGCAATGCCGTAGAGAGTCCACCTTCCAGATCGGCAATTTTCTCCAGGTGAGTGGATCTCTGTGGCCTGGGGCTGAGTTGTGGTCCCAGGAGAACTTCAGTCACCATCAGTGTTCCCTCTAAGCTGTTAGAGTGAGCCAGCTCACAATTCTTTAGCCTCTGGCTCACACATTTTTGTCTCAGCTCAGGAAGGATGGCTCCAGAGCAAACTAATTAATGCAGGAGCCAAATGGCTTGCTCACAACTTTAATGCCAGTAGCTCACAAAGTAGAATTTTGGCTCACGAGACTCCACAGCTTAGAGGGAACATTGTGCAACCCTCTGATCTCTATGGCCAGGAGGTTCCCAACCCTATGAGCCATTGGTCTGTGTTGGCTAATATTGGGTCTTTGAACTGGCAGGAACTCTCTGCTCGGGAGGGAAGGGAAAGGTCTTTCCAAACCCTTGTTATTGAAGAGGAGGAGGAGGAGGAGGAGATTGGATTTATACCCTGCCTGTCTCAGAACGCCTTACAATCTCCTTTCCCTTCCCCTCCCCTCCTCACAACAGACACCCTGTGAGGTGGGTGGGGCTGAGAGAGCTCTGAGAGAACTGCTCTTGAGAGAACAGCTCTGAAAGAACTTGTGACTGACCCAAGGTCACCCAGCTGGCTGCATGTGGAGGAGTGGGGAATCAGATCCGGTTCTCCCGATTAGAGTCCACCTTTCTTAACTACTACACCAAACTGGCCCTAACTTGAGAGCCAGTGTGGTATCATGGTTAGACTGCTGGACTGTAGTCAGTCTAACCTACCTCACAGGGCTGTTGTAATAGGGATAAAACGGGGCAGGGGGGAAAGGTGGGGTATATAAGTAAAGTACATGAATTGACTGAATCTGGGGCATTCTCTATTGCGGAGCCATTGTGAGCTCTTTTCATCCTGGCTATTCTTCTTACTAGTGTTCCTCGTCAATTGGTTACTTATACACTATTTATTCATAACATAACCCCCCCAAGCCATGGTGAAAAATATCTTAATTTTAATAGTATCAGCTTCAGCGAAGGGATACAAAAAAATAGCACAAAGTCACTGCTCGCTGCTTCATCTGGCACAATTGATAAGTTGTGATGATGATGATGGTTGATGATGATGTCTTAGGAATCGCCCACCCTGCAAGTAGGCTCTGGGTGATTTACAATCTTGTAAAAATACAATTAATGCATTATTAAAAGCACCAACAGAACAGTAAATTAAATCTATCCAAGATGGCAATACAGTTTCTCCTTTGTCGGCCTCACCACTGTTCCGCAGGGCAAGGCAGGGAAGGGCACGTGGGGGCCACAGAAAGAAAGAGAAGGTGCCAGTCTCAGCCTCCCGCTGCTGCCCTCTACTAAAAGCCTGGTGGATTGTTCATGTTTAACCAGCACAGATGAAAAACTCGATAGGATCCAGGGGTCATTTTGTAGAAAAAGAGCTAGGGGAACTCATTAGCATAACTCATTAGCATATGCCACACCCCCTGACATCAGGGGCCCGGCGGTGGACCTGCAAGGCCAGCGGGAGTGCGAGGAAGCCCTGCAAAGGCCCTCCCTGGCCCCAGGCAGGCAGGGGTGGGGAGATGCGGGGAGGAAGCAACTTACCCTCCCTCTTCTCCTGCCTCCTCCTGAGTCCTGGCTGAATGAGGGCTGGAAGCGGGGTGGCTGGAAGCAGGGGGCAGGGCTTCGTCATGTGCCCCACCCCCCTGCACCTCACCCGAGGGAACTGTGTTCCCCCGCGTTCCCCCCCGAAATGACCTCTGATAGGATCTCTACATTCTGTTTCTCACAGCATTTCTAATATGTAAGGTAAAGGTAAAGGTTTCCCTTGCTCGAAAGCCAGTTGAATCCAACTCTAGGGATGCGGTGCCCATCTCTGTTTCCAAGCCGAAGACCCAGCACTGTCCAAGGATGTTTCCGTAATCATGTGGGGAACGAGGCACACGGAATGCTGTTACCTTCCCACTGAAGCAGTACCTATTCCTCTACTTGCAATTTCTTTCGAACTGCTAGGTTGGCAGGAGCTGGGACCAGAGATGGGAGCTCACTCCGTCATGCAGCACTCGGGTCTCGAACTGCTGAACTGCCGACCTTCCAGTCTGCAGTTCAACATCTTAACTACTTGAGCCACCGCAGCCCTCTTTCTAATATGTACTAGAAGACGACCACCCCTGCCAAATTAGGTGCCGGTGCACAAAAAGCAAAGTCGGGATCCGTTTTTGCATCCTAATATGTAATAAAGCCCCGGCACCTAATCTGGCAGGGGTGCTCGTCTTCTAGTAAAGGCAGACAAACTCTTAATTCTGTCTCCGTGCTAATAAGGAAGGTCGTGAACTCCGTGTTGAGAGCTGGAAGTTGCGTGCCACGACACTCTCTGTGTGGGTGACTCTGTGTGCGTTCCGTGTGTTAAGTGCTGTCGAGTCACTTCTCACGGCAACCGTATGAATTAACGTTCTTCAAAACGTTGGAACAGAAATTCCCTTCTGCATTGCATGCCGCTTTCACTTCCTTTGATCATTGGATGTGGTTCTGAGCTGTACTTTTTCCTCCCAGTTGAGAAAATGTGGAGCGAATGCGAGATGCAGAATCGCCCATTAGCAGCCTTGCTCGGGTCTTGTAAACTGTGGGCCGTGGCTTCCTCGACGGAGTCAATCCATCTCTCTTTTCCTGTTGCCTCCAACATATCTTGTCTTTTCCAGTGACTCTTGTCTTCTCATAACACGACCCAAGTACGATAGTCTCAGTTTAGTCGTTTTAACTTCTAGGGGGAGTTCAGGCTTGATTTGGCACAGAAGTGTCAAAATTATTTGTTATGAGGGGCAGATCTGACATGTCCCTTTGTCGGGCTGGGCCATGCGTGCCATAAAATGTAATGCCAGGTCCCGGAGATATTTGACCACAGACCGTGACCCATACCTCTCCTCAGCAGAGCTCGGGGCCGAACCAGCCTTCTTCGCCCCTCATGGTTGCCATCTCTGGGTTGGGCAATCCCTGGAGATCTGGGGGAGAGCCTGCATTTGGGGAAGGGAGGGACCTCAACAGGGGGGTATAATACTCTACTATAGGCCCTTCCGGTTAGGGTTGCCAAGTTCATGTTCCACCCCCAGCGGGGGACTTTGGGGGCGTTCCTGGAGGGGGCGGGGCATCCCCGACGTGATGACGTCGCGTTGGGGACGTCCGCCCCCCCCCGCCTGTGCGCAGGATTTCCAGAAACAGCAGTTGCCTGCACTTAAAGGAGCTGGCGTTTCCCCTTTTGGATGCAGGAGCCGGCGTTTCCCCTTTCGAAACAGCCGCGTTTCCCTTTTGAGAGCTGGAAGCCGGCATTTCCCTGCAAGCTTGCGGAGAAGGGTTCCCCCCGCCGGCCCTCTCGCCGGGGGGGGGCAAAACCCCCCCCAAAAAAAACAGGGGCCCCCTGGAAAACCGGGGGGGGGGGGTTTGGCAACCCTACTTCCGGTCCACATTTGGACTGGTTTCCCCCCAGTTGCTTTTTTTTTTTAATTTTCAAGTTTTTAATTAACAATTCAGGATATATAGCTGTAATAGTAGGGAGATAAAGAACAGCTCCGATTCACAAGTACAGAAACTACATCAAGGGAGAGAGATAACAATAATAATCATACAAACATCCGAAGTTGGCATATTTCACAGAAGTTCTCCACCATGAGACCATACTGAATGCTAACTTAATATCTGCAGTTTTAGAACAGTTCCATTTCCTCCCGTTAACCTACTGAGGACCAACCATTTCCTGCATATAGACCAGAAGTTAGGTTGTGAGCCTCAATTCAGTTAGAATTAGAGTAGATCGTGGCAGAATCAGTTTTTTTGGGAGAACACCTATTTCAGTGCTTATTGTACGTATGACCTTGTGTTTGCGGCAGTGCTTTCTGTCTTTGTGACCCCCTCTCTGCATGTCACATCTTATACAGGTTTCTTTTTGGGTTGTTTCTGAGAGGCACAACACAGAAAAGCAAACATAATTCTGGTTTTGCAAAACAGTGGCGGTTGAGACAAACTCAGCTGGAATAGGATCTAAACTTTCTAGTGGATGTCTTGTGTTGTCTAGTTGGATTTCTTTGTAATATTTGTGGTCTGCCTTGAGTCTTGGTGAGAAAAGTGCTCCAGATGGCCAACAAACAGGGACCCGTCTACCATCAGCCTTTGATATTGACTTGTAAAGTAGTTTATTACTTCAAAACAAGACCGTTTACAACCAGGCAAAACCAACATCAAAGTCAATAAAATGACTAAAGCAAGATAGATTCAGGCAGGTAGTCTCAAAGGTGCCACTTGACTCATGACTAAACCAAGCAACGGTAATCACCTCACATAGGGTTGCCAACCTCCAGGTGGGACCTGGAGATCTCCTGGAATTACAACTGATTTTAAAACTGTAGAAAACAGTTTCCCTGGAGAAAAATGGCTGCTTTGGAGGGTGGACTCTGTGGCATTATACCCTGCGGAGCTCACTCCCCTCCCAAATCTACTCACCCAAGATTTGTGTGGTCCACAAATCTCCAGGAATTTCCCCAACACAGTTGGCAACACTAATTCCCTACCCCAGGTGTGAAAGCATCAGAGCCCTCCTCTCTTTATTTTTGTAAATATATTTTTTATTTTAACATTTAAGGGGGGATACAGGGAAAAAAGGCAAAGGGGAAAACGAAAAGCATAAAACATTATTTGTTAAACACATTTTAAGGACATAAGAACATCAGAGAAGCCAATGTTGGATCAGGCCAATGGCCCATCCAGTCCAACACTCTGTTACACAGTGGCCAAAAATGCCAGGTGATATCAGGAGGTCCAGCAGTGGGGCCAGGACACTAGGAGCCCTCCCACTATTGACCCCCCCCCAATGTGATCAATCAACACTTCAGCATAATATATTTCCAAGTATATTTCCATTAATTCCTATCTATAGGGCTAGGTAGAAAAACATATAAGCAAGAAATATAAAAAAGGAGTAAGAAAACATTTTTCTTTATAAAAGATTAATACTATGATAAAATAACTAGAAATTATGTAACTATAAAAGATCAATGAGTATAATTACAGTAGTATAATTATACGGTTTTGAATATTAATCAATTTAAATTTCTTGATAGCTCCTCTAACAGCTTTATCTAATCTATGCACTTTGTCTGTAGCAATTATAAAAGGCTCTCCACTTATTCTCAAATTCAGTGATTGTTTTTTTATTCATATAGGCTGGAGTCACATGCAGTAAATAATCCACTTTCCATCCACTTTCAGTGCACTTTCCAACTGGGTTTTACTGTGTGAACTGGCAAAATCCAGTTCGAAAGTACATTGAAAGCGGATTAAAAGTGGATTATTTAGTGTGTGTGAACTCAGCCATCGTTCGTCATTTTCGCCATAACAGCATATTCTTCCATTTTGTCTCTCCAATTCTCAAGATTTGGGCAAATTTTAAACTTCCACTTAGCTGCAAATACTAGTCGTGCTGTGGTTAAACATGTATCTGAACAGTTCATGCTCTGATCTATTTATATTAGACAGTAAAATTCCTAATAGCATAGTCTGAGATTTCATGGGAAATTTTCTGCATTTCAGTATGTATTTCTATCCAGAATTTGTTGGTCTTTTTGCAGGACGACCACATATGGTAAAAGGTACCATCCTTCTCTTTACATTTCCAGCACTTTCCCTTATAATTTTTATCCATAGAGGCTCCTCTTTTTAAAAATGCACTATATTCTGACACACTGCCTCCCAGTCAACAGCAGCTGTTAGATATTTCCTTGCTTAATTTCCTATTAGACATTCCACCAACTCGAAAACAATGAAGCATGAAATATACACATCACCAAAAGAGAAAAAACAGGGAAAGGCTGATCTTGCTCCTGTTTCATAACCTCATGACTTGAGTACCAAAGAAATAAACTGCACCCATTCTGGAAAGATGGGTATTAAAATTTTTATAAAGGCCAACACTGTCTGGAATATCCAAGATGAACCCTTACTACACTGATTCTCTTGCATCAGATGGTCAATTTCCGTCTGCAGACGGGCAGAGAAATGCTGATGTTTCTCCTCCAGAAATTTTGTTTGTTCCTGCAAGAAAAAAGAGGGCATCTAAGTAATTAAATCACAAACAGAAGACTTTTATTTGGTTTGTGGTGGACTCAAGAACTTCCCAATGAAGACAAGAGGCCCAAGAGACAGAAGAGGAAGGGATTTCCACATAAAACTGGAAAGGAAATCTGGGGAAACACTTTGCGGGGGGAAACCCTTGCTACTAATTCTGGCACAGTGCCCCAGTTCCGGAATTCCACCCAGTTCCAGGAGGGCCTTCTGTCATCCAGGGCCGGCCCACTCACTAGGCGAACTAGACTTTCACCTAGGGCGGGGCCATCATGGGAGTGCTGAACTGAGCCACCCTCCCCCCCCCCACAACCCCCCCCCCCCCCCCCCAAACACCCCCCCCGCCCCCACCAAAAGCTCACGCCGTGCGCCCTGGCCACCGTCGCCTCTTCTCTCCCCTGATTCCTGACGCGCCTGCCCGCCCCCAGCATGACTCCACAGCGCGCTCCTTCGCTGACAGGTCTCTCCTCCCAGGCAGCACGGGGAAGGGCCACACTGGTGCCACTGCGTCTCAGGTGCCCCCCCTCCCGGCTGCCTTCAGAGGCGACCCTGCTCCCCCCCCCCATCGGCGCGCAGGTGGCTCTCTCGCGCGCCTCCAGGGGGGCCCGCCCACGACCTCAGGACCGGACCACCACCCAGCCAGAGCCAAGCGCAACAGCGCTACAAAAGCTGCACACGGACGAAGGGGCTGCAGGTGAGCGCTGGAGTGCCCTTCTCACGAGAAAAGGCTGAGGAGAGCGGCAGTCCCTCTTCCTCGGAGGTAGCGGCAAGCTCCTTGGCCTGGCCTGGCCAACGGCGGCCTCGTTCCGAGAGGCAAAGACACTTTCACCACCCCCTCACAGCGGGGCCGGCAGTACCGTGTGTGTGTGTGTGTGTCGCTTGCTGCTCGAGATCGAGGGAACACCGCAGACTTTTACCCCTCCTCCCCCTCCCACGCCGTGCTTCCTGGGGGGAGGGAGAAGTAGGCAAGCCGAGGGAAAAATGAGTGACAAAAATGTCTGCAGAATTGGCATTGCAAAGTAAAATGTCCCTGCAAACTTTTTGACAGCAGATATGGGGGCTTTTGTAAAAATAACTGCCTGGTGGGCAGGCAAATCGGAGGATATATTTTGGATAGGGGGCAGAAGCTGATGGTTAGAGGCTGGCCAAAGGCTCCCCGGTAGAGCATGCGGTTGGTATGCAGAATGTCCCAGGTTCAATCCCCAGCATCTCCAGTTAAAGGGATCAGGTAGGTAGTTGCTGATGTGAAAGACCTCTAGTTGAGACCCTGGAGACCTGCTGCTAGGCTGAGGAGACACTGGCCTTGATGGACCAAAAATATCTGATTCAGTATAAAGCAGCTTTATGTGTTCATGTGCCTTTATAGAGAAAGGGAACTGTAGGATTAGAATACAGAATGTATTTATTTAGTGCTATTTAGTACCCCTTGTTCGGCTTTGGGTCACTTCCACAGCAGGACACTGGTGGGGAGGTTAGAGCTTTTGTATTTGAGCTCTATAGAGTCTGCCTACCATTCTTGGCTGTGTTGCTTTTTCCTGGAGACTTCAATTTCTGTGGTATTTCTCTCTCTGTGTGTGTTGTTGTTGTTTTCTGTCATGGGTAAGCCAGCACGTCTCTCTTTAAAAAGTTATGTATGTGTGCAGGAACTGTCTCTTAATAAAATAACCCCAGGGTAGAAGATTCCTGGTTTTCTGGAAAGTCAAGGGCTCACTGGACTCGAGAGATGTGTAGTCAAGAATCCTCCCTTATTCTCTGAAATGTTAAGGCTATGGCTTACTGTGTTACAAGGCTTGGGCGAATACTCCTTTTTCCTTTGGAGCTGTGTCCCAGAATTCCAGAGACATGAAGGAAGCATCCTTGACTCTCATCCACCACCACCACCACCTGCTATGGCAGCATAGCTGACATTCTGCATGGGTGCAATTCAGATGGGAACCATGGCTAGCAAACAGGAGGGCTGCACTATTTTACTGACCTTAAATGGCCTGGAGTACCTGCCCTTTATCCCATTAAGGGAGCACACTTGCAGCCCCTCTGCACACATTACTTTCCCAGTGACACATTACTTTCCCAATGGAGCAAACAGAAACTCTATGGAGCTTTTTCAGGGTAGGCAAATGGCTTGGGGTGAGTCTCAGAGCAGCTGAGAGGACTGCTCTGACAGAACTGTGACTGGCCCTAGGTCACCCAGTTTTCATCTTTCCTGATCTTTAAGGAATGTTTTTAATTTGATCATTTATGTTTGAAAATTGGTGGGCACACTGGGGTGGGTGGGCCGCCAGAAGGTATCCTCGCCTGGTGTGCAAAAAAAGCTGGGGGAAATCTGGTCAAAACTGGCTGGCTTCAGAGCTGGCCATGCCCACTACAGCCAAAACCTCTGCGTGGGTGGCTACAGAGAGAAGGCCTGGAGAGCGACACCACCCCCCCAGCGACTCCAAGGCGGGCAGGCCGGAGGGTGGTGGTGGAAGGATTGGGGAGGCATTTAAATGCCTCCCCATGCCTTCCCTGACCTGTCCAAGGGCCGGCTTGCCTGAGTTCCCCGCAGCCACAAGGCACCTGGGCAAGCCAAGGAAAGGGATGGGGGTGTGACCTAATATGCGAATGAGCTGTGTTGTCAGGGGTGTGGCCTAAGATGCGAATGAGTTTCTGCTGTTGGGTGTGGCCTATTATGCTAATGAGTTCCTGTTGGGCTTTTTCTACAAAAAAAGCCCTGGGCGTGACTCAGGTGCGACGCAGGCCTGTTTTGCAACTGGGAAGAGCCCCCACGTGGCCCTGTGACAGTTACCCTGAGTTTACTGTCCAGCATCTTCTCATTCTCTTTCAGTAGCTCCTCCCTGTCTTTCTCCATCTTGTCCTTCAGTTGACAAATGCTTGCTTCAAAAGATCGGCGCTGATCCGACAGCTTCTCCCGCAGCACCGCCTGTTCCTGCTTCTGGACCTCTTTCTCTCGCTCCGCTTCCTTGGCTTTTGCCGCTGCATCTGGTCCACAGCGGGGGGAAATGAAGGACAGATCTTTATAGTAGCTGTGCAGAACTGAACACTAGTGGTTGTTATTCTAGCCTGCAGTTGGCTCGTGGTTTGAGACGGCCCACTCTGGATAGCTGCCCAACAGAGAGAGAAGCCCCTCTTCTTCCTCCCCCTCCCCTTCCTATTTACATAAAAGCTTGTACGTCATTAAAAAAGGGGGCCAACCCTTCCCATGTACTCTGCAAATTTATTCTCACAGCTGGAGCTCAGTGGTATGATTTATCTAAAACCAGGGGGGGCACATTTTTGAGCCTATGGGCACATTTGGAATTTTGAGGGACGGTGGTGAGCGCCACCACAAAAAAGGCTTCCACAGGAGGGGGGAAACAAGCCAGCACCACCTGGGAAGAAGGAAAGCCTGGAGGAGGAGTGGAACCACATACTGACTAAGGCTGATTCTGCATCGGCTTTTCCCTCCGTCGTTTTACGAAACCCACGTTGGAACAGAAATTTCCCTCTGCACTGCATGCTGCTTTTACATCCTTTGGGTGATTCTGCATCTAGCATTCGCTCCACGTTTTCTCGACTGGGAGGGAAAAGTGCAGCTCAAAATCACATTCAAATACCTCGGGGCAATGCCGCTGTACTGACTGTGAAGTCAACCCTGAATGGCCATACATCTATGCAGAAGGTACCATAAAACCTGATGATCAAAGGAAGGGAAAGCAGCATGGAGTGTGGAGGATACCATAAAACCCAATGATCAAAGGAAGGGAAAGCAGCATGGAGTGTGGAGGGTACCATAAAACCTGATGGACAAAGGAAGTGAAAGCGGCATGCAGTGTGAAGGGTACCATAAAATCTGATGGTCAAAGGAAGCGAAAGCGGCATGGAGTGTGGAGGGTACCATAAAACCCGATGTCAAAGGAAGTGAAAGCAGCATGGAGAGTGGAGGGTACAATAAAATCCGATGGTCAAAGGAGGCGAAAGCGGCATGGAGTGTGGAGGGTACCATAAAACCCAATGATCAAAGGAAGCGAAAGCGGCATGGAGTGTGGAGGGTACCATAAAACCCGATGATCAAAGGAAGTGAAAGCGGCATGGAGTGTGGAGGGTACCATAAAACCCGATGATCAAAGGAAGCGAAAGCGGCATGGAGTGTGGAGGGTACCATAAAACCCAATGATCAAAGGAAGCGAAAGCGGCGTGGAGTGTGCAGGGTACCATAAAACCCGATGATCAAAGGAAGCGAAAGCGGCATGGAGTGTGGAGGATACCATAAAACCCGATGATCAAAGGAAGCGAAAGCGGCGTGGAGTGTGGAGGGTACCATAAAACCCAATGATTAAAGGAAGCGAAAGCGGCATGGAGTGTGGAGGATACCATAAAACCCGATGATCAAAGGAAGCGAAAGCGGCATGGAGTGTGGAGGGTACCATAAAACCCGATGGACAAAGGAAGTGAAAGCAGCATGCAATGCAGAGGGGAATTTCTGTTTCAACCTGGGTTCCATAAAACAATGGAAGGAAAAGCCAATGCAGAATCAGCCTTTGGTCATCGGATTTTATAGTAGCCTCCACACTCTTTGCCACTTTTGCTTTCTTTGATCATCGGATTTTATGGTACCTTCTGCATAGATTTATGGATGTTTTATGTGCATTCAGGAGTGACTTTGCAGTCACTACAGTGTTGCCCCGAAGTATTTGAATATAGTTTTGAGCTGCACCTTTTTCCTCCCAGTTGAGAAAACGTGGAGCAAATGCTAGGTGCAGAATCGCCCTAAGGAAAGATTGGGCCCATCTGACCACCACCAAGGGAGTCCAGGGTTGCTATGTAGAGGCAGGCAATGCCAAGCCACCTCCAAACATCTCTTGCCTTGAAAAACCCATGAGGGGGTCACCGGCAGTCAGCTGCAACTTGATGGCACTTACCCCCCACCAGCCAATAACAAGCGCTGACATACAGTGGCCCCACCCACTTTTTGAAAATCTTGGCAGGCACCATGGGAATTACTGGCGGGCACCTCTTCCACTCAAAAAGGCACCATGGAATCTGCTGCCGGCCCTTACCTGCCAGTTCCTTCTCTGCATTTTTGAGAGCTTCATCACTCTGAAGTATGTATCTGCCCATAGTATCCTTCTCCTTAAGGAACTGCTGCAGGACCTTTTCTGCCTGGGGAGTGGAGAAGTAACAGTCAACTGAGCGTATGTGGAGATGGAGGGTATATAGCAGAGGTATCGAACTCATTCGTTACGAGGGCCGGATCTGACATAAATGTCACTTTGTCGGGCCGGGCCATGTGTGCCATAAAACATAATGCCAGGCAGGGGTCATTTCCTGCAGGAGCGCACAGGAGCGGAGCTCCGGCAGTAAAGAGCCCAGGGGGCGGGCACATGCAACAAGCCCCACCCCCTGCTCCCAGCAGCCCTCAGTCAGAGCAAGAAGCAGCCAGGTAAGCTGCAGAGCTCCCCCTAGCCCCCAGTCCAAAACAGTCCAGTGGCACCTTTAAGACCAAGTTTTATTCAGGTACAAGCTCTCCCTCCTCTGTGAGGACAGATCTGCACATTCCCCCCCCAAGTTAGCAATCCAAAACAGTCCAGTGGAGCCTGAGTGGTGGGTGTTGCCTTCTGACACACTTCCAGTGATGTCAGGGGGTGTAGCATATGCAAATAAGTTATGCTAATGAGTTATGCTAATGAGCTCCTGCACCTCTTTGTCTACCAAATGACCCCTGATGCCAGGTACCAGAGATATAAACTGTATAAAGGACAGCAACTCATAAGCCCAGAGTTGTATCCTCACTGCAGGGCCCCATGGGCTGGGAGGGGGTGTAAAGGAAAACCCACACGCTTGACTGCTGCAGACGAGATTGTTCCACCATGCTGAAGCCACAATCGGAGTGGTTCTACCCACTCCCCCCTCAATACACCCTCTATGCTGTGGAGTCTTGTGAGCAATAATTCTGTTTTGTGAGCTACTGGCATTAAAGCTGTGAGCGAGCAATTTGGCTACTGCATAAATTAGTTTGCTCTGGAGCCATCCTTCCTGAACTAAGACAACAATGTGTGAGCCGGAGGCTAAAAAACGGTGAGCTAGCTCACACTAACTCAGTTTAGAGGGAACACTGCTCTCCCCCCCCCCCGAGCAATCTCCTGTTCCCTTCCTTGCACTAGTTGCTCACGAGCCACATAGGAGCCCTGGATGGGCCAGTTCCGGCCACCGGGCCTTATGTTTAACCCCCCGGATATAAAGGGTACTTGGCTGAGGAAACAACCTCTACAGACTCTTCCACACAGAGGTTTTTCTCCATCATTTCTTCCAAATTGGAATGCTTCATTTGGAGCATCTACACATCATTGCAGTCTCTTTCCAAGATGTCCCTATCCTTGGTATGCTCTTTCCAAACTTTCCCTAACTCGCATTATTCCGCTCTTTTGGGAAGCAAGGCAGCCCAAGCACGTTGTCATGACAGGAGGATTTGTATTTTCACAAGTCCTGCCTGCACTGGAACTTATTCCTTCCATCAGATCTTTGCAGCCTCATTTTTCCCGCCACTCCACTGGGGGGCTTTTTGAGGACTTAAAAAACCCAGCAATTGATAGCAACGACCAGTTTTTTTTAATGCCCTCAAAAAGCATTGGCAAAATAATAGCATTACTGTGTTCATCCTTGTTGCTGACTTAGGGTTGAAACAAGTAAATTAAAACTGAACTGGGTGGCGGGGGGATCCCCTGCCCTCCCTCACCATTATTCCTTTTCCGTTTTTCTGATGGTATTGCTCCTTTATTTTATTCAGGTCATCCAAGAAACGCTGGTAGCCGCCAGACTGTAAGTAACTTCTCTGGCTGATCCCTTTCTCCAGTTCCTCACACAGTGGTCTCAACACAGACTTGCAGAGTTCTGAGGATTCCAACTCATTCTTCCGGCAATACTCCTCCTTTTTCTGATGCAGAGTTTTCTAGTGCGACAAAAATAAAGTAAACTGGAGGGACATCCAAGTCTGTTTCTAGACCTGGAAGGGGGGGGGGAAATCATGTTGAATTGTTCATGGTATTCAAACGAACTGGAGTTCAAATCCTAGTCCAGGCTATGTAAATTATAGTACCTGTGACTTATGCCCTGTTAACATGTTCACATATCTTGGGACAATGCATGGTCCCTTACAAGCTGCTCCAGTCAACGTTGCAGCCGCAACACTCTGTATCAACTGCAGCTTCTGGACAGTCTTCAAGGGTAGTCCCACATACAATGCATTGCAGTAATCTAGCTGTTACCAGGGCATACACCATATTGGCAAGATCTTTCCTGCCCAGGAAGAGCCATAGCGGGGTCACCAAGTAAAGATGGTGAAAGGTGTCTCTGGCCACTGCTTATCAAACAAGAGCCCTGGGTCCAGCAGTACCCCTAAGCAACAAACCTGGTTCTTTAATTCTTCCATGGTACAGTCTGATTCTTAGGACCAAAGGCCAATGTTCTTCAAACAAAGCGTGAGGTTTTCCTGATTAGATCATCCTTTTTAAATTGTTACCCAGGAGACTTCACCTGTCCCCTACATTAACTGCTCAATTTGGCTACTTGTGGCCTAGTTGGATAAGTTAATGTACACATTCACAGTATCACAAGGAAATACTACAACTGGAATTTGAATGAAGGATAGTGGCTACTGCAAGTAATAGAGAAAAATAACATAGTAATAGAGAACAGAAGAGGAAGAGAACATCTCACAGCAGTCTACAGGGGCAGGTTAAGGGTATACAAACTGATCTCAAAAGACAGCCTACCACAAGCTCGCTCAGGAACTGTTGTATGTCTTTCTTGAAGGCACGGGCCATGAACACCTCATGTGCCTCCGTCTCACACTCAGCATGTCTCTCCAGGAGCTCCTGGATACTCTCCGTGGGTAGCTTCACCTTCTGCTCCATCAGTTTCACATAACGAGCGGTGGCTTCATTCAAAGCTGCTGTATTCTCTGCCCGAGCCAGAGCCTCCACCGCGCTCTCCGCACAAGGCACTCCCCCACTACGTATGGTGCCCACGTAGGTCTCCACCAGCTTCGCCAACACTACAAGGGAAAGACCGATAGGAATTGTTCCAGCAAATTTTATATAGGGATATCTTCCATTGTCTATTGTCCAATACTACGCAACCAGAACAGCAACAAAAAGGAACGATTAGGCCCAGTGGAATTTAACCCCTGAGGAACAGGTAGTGTGGCTCCCTGCTGCACTTTACCTATTGGGTCATAATACAAACAGGGTTGTGACCTAAAGTCTGTCTCTGAGCCACTGTGTCCTCTGGCTAAAGAAGGGACATACTGAGCTACAAGGACTCACTGCTGCCTGTGACAATGTTCCCTCCTGGGACGGTCTTGGCTTTGGATGTCTCATAAATGTGATTGCAGAACCGTTCTGCTTGTTCCACAAAATCAGACTCCAGTTCACTCTCCTCCATGTCCTCCAGCCAATGCAGGTTCTTTCGATTGGTGGGACGGTCAAAGATGAAGCATTTCCGCGTGGGGAAGAACAGCCGGATGCATTCACGGGGCAAGTTGTACTGCTGGATGTCATGTGGGTAGGGTGGAACTGGGCAGCTTGCAGATGACTCTTCTGATTCAAAGTTATCAGTGGGTTCAGATGCTACTGAATGAGAGAGAGAGAGAGAGAGAGAGAGAGAGAGAGAGACCCCGTCAGGGCTTTCCCACATAGGTTGTTTTCCATTGGTTGTGGCCCCATTGTCATAAGTCAGCCAGCTGCCACCTCCTCCGAGGATGAGGAAATGGAAGTTAGGCCCTGCACCAATGGAATGCCTGCCTGAACAGCTGAATCTAGAGGCAGAGCAAGTGAAAGCAGCATCAGGAAACGAGGGTTGCTTATTCTGGCAAGATACGAAAGAGATCAGAGGGTCAGTCTCCACCAGCGTCTCCTGAACCAGTTGAACTCAGGAGACGCTGGGAGCTCAAGAGAGACAACGAAGCACTTGGTTAATTCTACAACAGCGGCCAGCACTAATTCCTGAAGCAGAGTCATTACAGGAGCAGGCATGACAAGATGGTAAGAAGCAACACCTGTGCTTCGGGGATGAATCAGCTAATCAGGCAGATAAAAGGAACATGCTGAGCAGGGCTTGTTGTGGAAGCAACCTTGCTTGTCACCCCCTCTGAGAGCTGATTCACTCAGTGGACAGAGTATAACCTTGCTTGCTGTGTTGCATCCTGTCCTGCTAACCTGTGCTTGTTTTTTCCAGCTAGAAACCCAGTGCTTCTCTCCTGTCCTGGCTTCCCTCTGCACTGGTTTGTTGACTTTGCTCTTGTCTATTGCCTTGACTGTTTGTGATTACATCTGTGCATCCTGGAACTCCTGGGTAGCGTAAAAGCACCAGGCTCTGCCCTTAATGCAACATTTTATTTGATTGCTTATTGCTGTGTTTTGTATTCTGGATGCACATGTACACCAGACTCACCTTTGAACATGACACCCATACTACTTTGGTTTAACCCCTGATTCCTGCACACAATTATGTGCATTTAATTTCGCTTCATTTTTGTTTCCCATTTCCACCCCACCCACCCCAGTTCTTTTGAGACCACTTTTACCACAATCTTTTCGATGGAGTGCCACTGGTGCCAGCGTCGGAGGTTAGGAGTTTGGGAGTGCTCCTGGACCCCTCCTTGACTATGGAGGCCCAGGTAGCAGCCACTGCAAAGTCAGCCTTTTATCATCTTTGGCTGATTCGACAGTTGGTTCCCTTCCTCGACCATGGCAACCTGACTACAGTGATCCATGCGACGGTCACATTTGAGCTATTACAGTTTTGGCTGAGGCTATTAATATGTTGATCAATTTTCTTGTCCTTTCAGGTGGTTTGTCCGGCGGCCATAGGTGGAGAAGCAGCAATTCGGGATTTCAAGGTAAGTCGTAGTTGGTAAGTTTATTGATGTGTGAGATTATTTGTGACCAGAATTTTTGAATTTCTTTACAATACCACCAATTATGGAGGTAAGTGGCCTTTTCTCCACACTTTTTCCAACAGTAGGGAGTTGCATTTGGGATAATGTGTGTCAGTTTTGATGGGGTTAGGTACCATCTTGTGGTTACTTTAGAATTTACTTCCTGTAGGCTGGAGACTTTAGATATTTTATTCTGAGTCTGCCAGATTTCAGTCCAGTTTTTTTCAGTTAGTTGAACATTAAGGTCTTTGTTCCATTGATTTTGATAGGTAAGGACAGGTTTTGCTTGTGTAGCAAGGAGGCACATGTAAAGTTTGGATATTAGCCCTTTTTTCGGAGGTGGTTTTGATAAGAGTTTTTCGAAGTCCGTTAAGGGCAATTTGCTGGCTTGTGAGAAGGATGAATCATTAAATAAACTTTGAAGTTGAAGATATTCGAACCGTTTGAGTTTTATGTTGAATTTCGTTTCCAGCTCCACCTTTGTTCTTAATTTACCATTTTGTAAGAGGTCTTTAATTCTTGTTATTTTTGCTTGTTTCCAGTCACCAAAAGCCGTAGGAGAGAGAGCCGGGATGAACCATCGTTGTCCGGTAAATGTGGTTATTTGTGAGCCTTTGTTTGTTAACTTGGATTTGAGTTCATACCATGTCTTTAGTGATGTTTTGAAAAAAGGATTGGAAGTATAAGTTTCTGTTTCTTTAAGCTTATCGTGCCACATAAGTTCCTGAACCGTTTTTTCACTGATATTTTCTTGGAGAACCGGGTTTGATTCCCTGCTCCTCCACATGCAGCTGCTGGTGTGACCTTGGGTCAGTTACAAGTTCCTTCAGAGCTGTTCTCTCACGAGCAGTTCTCAAAAGAGCTCTCTCAGCCCCACGTACCTCACAGGGCGGGGTCTGTTGTGGGGAGGGGACGGGAAAGGAGATTGTAAACTGCTCTGAGACTCCTTTGAGTAGTGAAGGGCAGGATATAAATCCAATCTCCTCCTCCTCCTCCTCACGTTTACCCAGCCCTCTGCCTTATTCACTATGTGACCTTCCACACAGCTGATGCCAAGAAGGGGGGGGCGGGGGCAAAACATCTGAAGCCAACTGTCTGAGGGGGATGGAAACACAGGCTGGATGCCTTTCCTTTCAAGAGAAACAGTTCTGGGAAATCATCTTTGTTCTTATCATGCGGAGTGAATGTTTGTTGCCTTAAAGTGAAAGAGCAAGGGGAACTTTCCTTGCTAGACACATGTTTCTGGGAAATCAGAAACACTGTTATCTGGGTGGGAAGTCAAATGCTTCTATTGGAGAGTGACAGGCAGCTTTCCTCCCTAGGCAGGGCTGGCCCCTTTTTCTTAGGAACTTCATTCCCTGTATGCCCAGTTAGCTCGTCACAGATCTGTGGGGGATACGTATGGAATGTAGGCCCTTTGTATTATTGGGCATAACCAGGGCTTTTTTTGGTAGAAAAAGCCCAACAAGAATTCATTAGCATAATAGGCCACACCCAACAGCAGAAACTCATTAGCATATTAAGCCACACCCCTGACAGCACAACTCATTCACATATTAGGCCACACCCCCATGTTACCAGAAGTGTGGTCATCCATCCACACCCACCTGTTGCTTCTTATTCTTACTTTGTTTATTGTCAAAACCCAGGGCTTTTTTTGTAGCAGGAATTTCTTTGCATGTTAGGCCACACACCCCTAATGTAGCCAATCCTAATGAGTTTCTGCTGTTGGGTGCGGCCTGTTATGCTAATTAGTTCCTGCTGGTCGTGGCCAATTCGGGAGCCAGCCGGAACTCCGTTCCTGTGCGTTCCTGCCCCAAAATAGCCCTGGGCATAACTGTAACTCATAAACAAATTTAAGAGGACCCCCTCTGTTTTATGACAGCTGGGGGGCTGCCGTGTACAAGTTGTATTAATCTCCAACTCACCCTTGTCCTCTGGGCCTTTCTTTAATTTCAACACATCTTCCAGATATTCATCCTCAGTGCAGGGCTGCCCATTGAGTTCTAGCTGCAAAGTGAAATCCCTCATGGCCCAGATGAAAGACGGGAAGAAACGAACATAGTCAGCAGAGTCTTCCAGTACCTCCGAGTTTTCCTCTGGACTCCCCCTGGGCGAGGACTTAGACTTGATACAATTGGTCAGTTCTGTCACATAACTGTTGGCCTGGCTTAGGAAGATTTTTTTTAAACTGTTTTATTTATTGAAATATTTATAACTCACCTTTCTCACTGTTCACGCTGGTTTCAGGGAGGAAAACAAAGGTAAACAAACATTGTCCAAAGAAGCTAAAATACTATCACCACAACTTTTTTTTAAAAAAGGAATCCCTTTATATGGTTTTCTCACAGAAACTCAGCTGTGAAGATACAAGATTCCCTCAGAATCACTGGCTTTAGGGTTGCTAAAACCAGTTTGGAGAATTCCTGGAGATTTGAAGGTGGAGCCGGGGAAGGACAGAATTTGGGGAGGGAGCTCCGTGGGAAAGCTATTCCATCGAGGTTTACCCTTCAAAACCGGCATTTTCTTCAGGAGAATTGATCGCTGTCGTCTGGAGATCAGTTGTAATTCCTGGAGAACTCCAGGCCCCACCTGGAGACTGGCAACCCTATGTACAGTGTTCCCAGAACCATACCAAGCTCTGTCCCCTCTTGATTTCCTTCTGGGAGAATGTTCCAAAGAACCAGGGAGGCTCAAGCCATGTTATTGCCCACAAGGTTTTCCTCCTAAGCTGCTCCAGCTGAGTCCAAGGTGAATTCCAGAGGTGGTATGACTACAGCTGACCTTGGAACCTGGCAGCTATAGCGGGGGGGGCGCACGTGCCCCCACTGACTGGGCACCCCAAGTGGCTGCCTGGTAGTTGAAATGGCCCTGGCTTCAACAGAGAAAGACTGTTATTAAGCTGAGGCAGATCACATGGTCTTAAGAAGAAGAGCCCTGCTGGATCAGACCAGTGGTCCATCTAGCCCAGGATCCTGTCTCACACAGCGGCCAACCAGTGCCTCTGGAGGGCCAACAACAGGGCATGGAGGCCGAGGGCTTCCCCTGATGTTGCCTCCTGGCTCTGGGATTTAGAGGCTTAGTGCCTCTGAATGTGGAGGTTCCCCTCAGTCGCCATGGCTGCCAGCTGTGTGCCCTCTAAGCTGAGTTGGTGTGAGCTAGCTCATAGTTTTTTAGCCTCCAGCTCACACATTTTGGTCTGAGCTCAGGAAGGAGGGCTCCAGAGCAAACTAATTTAGGCAGTAGCCAAATCGCTCAATCACAACTTTAATGCCAGTAGCTCACAAAGGAGAATTTTTGCTCACAAGACTCCACAGCTTAGAGGGTACATTGGCTACCAGCCATTGATGGATATATCCTCCATGAATCTATCTAATCCCCTTTTAAAGCTGTTTATTTCTGTGGCCATCACTACACCCTCTCGCAGCGAATTCCCTATTTTAATAACTCGCTGTGTAACTGTTTCCTTTTGTCCCTCCTGAATCCATTGCCCATCAGCTGTATTTGATGCCCTCGAGTTCTACTATTTTGGGAGAAGGAGAGAAAGTTCTCTTTGTCGACTCTCTGCACCCCATTCATGATTTTACAAACCTCTGTCATGTCCCCCCCCCTTAGTTGTCTTTTTTCTAAACTGAAAAGCTCTATGAGGAAAAGCTGACGAGTAGATTTACCAAGTACCTACCGCAAATCGGTGTGGGACACATAGTTCTTGGCGGGAACATTCCCGCGGGGAAAACACACATGCTGCACTATACTGTCGCCCAGACGTGATGTAAGGACGTAGCCAGGCGATGCTCTAGCAATGGGGCTGAAAACTCGATGGTACCATCGAGTTTTCAGCCCCATTGCCAGAGCGTCGCCCAGCTACGTGCCCAGTGTGCTGATGTCACGTCTGGGCGACATCATAGTGCGACGTGGGTGTGTCCCCTGCCGATTCATGGTAGGTACTTAGTAACCCTACCGATTCATGGTAGGTACTTGGTAACCCTACTGACAAGTCTGGGACTTTTCAGTTTAGAAAAGAGATGACTTAAGACATGTGACAACCAGAGATAACCTCTAAGAGATCCTCAGGTCTCCCAATCATGGTACTGGCCACATCCATCCATAACATTGCTGACTGATGTGCTTTCCTTCCATACCCTGGGACCCAAGGTTACCAGCCACATGAAAATATTCCTCCTCTCCTACCTCTTAACCACGCATAATTAATTGGTAAGGCAACCAGACAGGAAGGAGGCCAGGGCTCCTGTCCCTTCTCTTGAGAGGGAAACATTAAACTAGTTAATCTGCAGCTGATCATATCCTGTCTTCTAACCAACTATTAAAGGTACAGAAGCTCTGTCTTCTTTTCCATCTGGTCATCATAATAATGGGTAGGGTGCCTCTCTCAGAAACTCTGAAATCTTTACAATTAAAGAATTAGGACTTCTTTCCACCTTAAGCAGCGTCAATATCTCTACAACCTTCTAGAGGGCATGTCAACCAGAATCTTCTGAGTGGCCTCATTCCCATATCATACAGTACTCTGCCCAGTATGGAGTTTACCACCTCAGATCAGAATAGTGAGCTACGATATCTAGTCCAGTGGGTGATTTTTATCATGGCTCATTGATTGCCACCTCTGAGGGAGACCGAAGGACAGGACTGGTATAGGTTTACTTCAAACATTGCAAAACTTCATAGAGTAAAATAAGATCCACAGGACAATGGCCTGTTACGCACGCACAGCTTTCTGCAGATTTTCTAATAAGTAAGCCTTAAAGCTTGATCTCAGATTCTGTGCCTGTCTCACACACCATTCTATTCCCTCCAGTGTATTTATTCTGCAGCTACAATTTTAAAAACGCACTTTTCTAAATCAGGGTGGGAACGTCACTTGTGACATGTAGGGGGTGGTACCCAATTTTTAAAAATTTATGCAATTGCCCTATCACAGCTGTGCAGTAGCAGCCAGCAAACGCCTTCCATTTAAATCCTTGTGGTTCAGTTTTTGCTCATGCATTTTAGCGTTAATTTGTTGAATGAAAGGGAACACAATAATGCAGGCAAAGGGGGAAATCTGGTGTTGAAACTGACGACTATTTTTGAAACTGACAAGCAGCTGCAAGTTTTCCATACTGCTGAGCACTAAGGGATTTTCTGCTGTGTTATCAACCACTGTGAAAAATGGGAGTCACAAAATCTCATTGAGTGTACAGGATGCCAAGTAGAACCCAGTGACACTGGCATTGCAAGCTGTGATCGCTGGCAATGTGTGTGTGCATGCGTGCCTGTGCAAAGTTGCCTGCAATTTGTACAGGGGAGGAGTCCTACGGCAGAAGCTCTGGAGAGCTTTATTAGTCTCGTGCCACTAAATTTAAAAAAAGGGGGGGTATTTTTGCCGATGCCTTAGCGCAGCTGCAGGGTAATGTTAACTTCCTGCCCTCCCTTGCAAATTTGTGTGGTTTTCTCTTTGTGATTCTCTAATTTGATCCTGCACACTGATTGTGATTTTGGCAGTTTTTAAAAGCCTCTCTTGTGCCAATTGCATTCTTTCCTCCAAATGCATTGATCCCAAACGATTCTTAAGTCTGGTGGTTTGCAGAAGGTCCATGTGGCTCAGCTGCCATTTTAAGGTTAGGCTCCTAGAGACTACCAAAATGGTTCCCCCCAAAACTTTGTTCACTATAGAATTAGAGGGGAAAATGTTTTCAAAGCTTTATGTTTCCCATCCTAGTCTCTCTCTCTCTCTCTTTACATCTCCTGTCAATTTCGTTCTGTGTTGACAATCCCCCCCCTTTATTTTGTTTGCATGCAACACTGAAATCCTTTTTTCCTTTTTTGCAGTGGGGATGCTGCCACTTGCCTCCTCTCTGATCCCCCTTTCAAGTCAGTACCAGCAGAGAACTAAACCTCATGAAACTCCTTTTAAACCTTCACCCCATCATTTAGTTTTTTTAAAAAAATTCAGTGATCCGAGACTAGTTGTTCCTGCCCATCTAAGTATCTCCAGCCCAAGATGGACCACATCCTGTTGCAAAACTTTTTGATTCCCCCCCCCAGCATTTTAATTTTTTTATTCAGCAATCCGAGACTAGCGATAGTCTCATATCGCTAGTCTCATTCTGCTTGTCAAAAAACCAATAACATTTAAAACAACAAGGGAAAAAGTAATGAATGGAGCTAGTACACTGGTGGAACAACCAGAGTGGGCAGAACTACCTTGATGTGGGCTAGGGAGCGAGCTTCAAGGGGTGGCAAAAGGGCAGGGCGGGGATCCGAGGGAATCTGTACGCTTTTGAATTACCTTCGGTTTGGAAGCGAAACAAGGGGAAAACCAACACAAAACCACTCTCAGAAAACCTGGGAAAACAGTAACCAGAAAGCGAACTGAGCGCTGAAGGGAGGGAAACCAATGCAGAACAAAAAAAAAACAAAACCCGACAGATATGCACGGTGAAAGCGAGGGACAACATTTATGTGTAATAGGCCAATGACTGATTCAGAAGGATACTGGAGCTGGTCCATGGCATGCTGGTCGATGGTGCCCATGCTGTTGTAGACCAGGGTACTGCTGAGGAGGACGGCCAGAGCAAAGATCCAGGAGTCGTTCTGAGTGTCACCCTAAGAACGGAGGAACAGAGGATTCATTTGTTTATTTGTTTTTTTTAATTATTTCGGACTAGATTCTGCTTCTACCAGAGGGCTGGTCCTACGTTTGGGGGCTCCAGACAGAGAATTCTCAGAGCTCCCTTCCATCTTCTGACCACCCCCAACCCCCCTGCTTGTGACCTCCTTTTGTCTCGCACATTTTCGTGCCTCCCACCTGCTTGTGCATCCTCCCCAGGTCTGGTCATGATCCCTCTCACTGCTTGTGCTCACAACTACCTGCAGACCTTTCCCCAGTGGCACTGGGCAGCGCATGCAGCAGGGAGCATGGGCGGTGGAGCACTAGCAAGTGAGAGGGCAGAGGACATCAGCAGCTGCGGGCCTCGCCAGAACCTCTGGACCCTGGCAGTGGCCCCGCCTCAGCGTATGTTGATGATAGACCAGTCCCCCATCTCAACCTAACATTGGCACTAATGGAGCATTCCATTCTGAAGAAGGAAGCAGAAATATGAGCTACCAGGGAACCCTTTGAAGGTTATCGTAGCTGCAGGGGAGTCGCTTTAGGAGTGGCTCCCATGGGCCAGCAGGGGCAACATTTAACTGGCCCTTTTACGCAGAATCACAACAGCAGCAGCCATGGAGACAGGGTAACTTGACCTGAAACTAGAGCATAAGAAAAGGGCCAGGGAGATCTTCAATTTCCCTTTCACCTAGGGTTTCCAGCTCCAGATTGGGAAATACCTGGAGATTTGGGAGGTGGGACCTGGGGAGGGCAGGATTTGGGGAGGGGAGGGAGTTCAGTGGGCTATAACGCCACAGAGTCCAGCTCCCAAAGCAGCCATTTTCTTCAGGTGAACTGATCTCTGTCACCTGGAGATGATTTGTAATAGTGAGCGATCTCCAGTAACCACTGGGAGGTTGAAGCCCAAACAAAACATCCGTGACGAAAATGACAAAGAGTTGATAAAGATATATTTGCAAAAAATATTTACTAGCAGTTCGAAAGCAAGAAATTGCAAGTAGATAAATAGGTACCACTTCAATGGGAAGGTAACAGCGTTCTGTGCGCCTTGGTGTTTAGTCATGCCGGCCACATGACCACGGAAACGTCTTCGGACAGCGCTGGCTCTTCGGCTTGGAAACGGAGATGAGCACCGCAACCCTAGAGTCGGATCCAACTGGCTTTCGAGCAAGGGAACCTTTCCTTTTACTTTTTATATCAAATCTATATTTACTATATATTTGCAAATATATCTTTATCGACTCTTCATTGTTTTTTTGTCACGAATGTTTCATTTGGACTTCCGTCTCCTCCCGTGATCTCTCACTTTTGGCCTCTACCACTGGGAGGTTGGCAACCCTATTCCCACCAGGAACAAAAAAAGAAGCACCCTGTGCACTTTAAATACTAACATGTTTGTTATACCATAGGTTTTCGTGCCCTGCTTTCACACAGGGGAGCAGCCGACCCATATCCCCCCCCCTTTCAATTGAATCACAGCAGATTTAATATTTGATCTGGCTGAAAGGGAGAAGCCCACAAGTCTTGGTTAAAATGAGCACAACGTTCTGTGGATCCTCTCAAATACGGGGGCAGCCATATTGGCAGAGGCAGTGAAGCAAGTTCTCAGTCAGTGAGATGTTTCCACATGCGGGGAAGAGAAAAATCATCAACAATAAATAAACAGCCCTGACCTAGATAGCCCAGGCGAGCCCGATCTCGTCGGATCTCGGAAGCAGGGCTGAACCTGGCAAGTATTTGGATGGGAAACCTCCAAGGAATACCAGGGCTGGGACCCAGATGTGGGCACAGATCACACACACACACACACACACTTTGGATGAACAAAGGCCTGGTTTGTGACATTTCTATGGAAAACTGAAGGGCATACAGATTTATATTTATTTGTTTATGGAATTTATACCCCGCCCTTCTGCCCCCATCAGGGCCATGGCTAACAGATTAAAAATGTACATACTGAAAACATATACTAAAAACCATTAAAAAAAAAAAAAAAAAACCCCACAGATTTCAAACAATTAAAGCCAAGTTAACATGCAAATATGATACAATAAAATATACAGAGCAACAACAAGAGTTAAAAACACAGCTGGGAGCAAACCTTTTTCGCATCACCCAGGCCTTCGGTGTCCAAGAGCACAAGAGTCTGGTCCGGTCTGCCAGGGTAGGGAACACACCACATCCAGATTCCCTTGGTTGTTGCTTGCACAGTGGGGCCCAGAAGGAAACCTATCCATGGAAATAGTCATGGGAAGGAGGAGGAGGAGGAGGAGATTGGATTTATACCCTGCCCTTCACTACCCGAAGGATTCTCAGAGCAGCTTGCAATCCCTTTCCCTTCCCCTCCCCACAACAGACACCCTGTGAGGTAGGTGGGGCTGAGAGAGCTCTCTTGAGAACTGCCCTTGAGAGGACAGCTCTGAAGTAACTTGTGACTGACCCAAGGTCACACCAGTAGCTGCATGTGGAGGCGTGGGGAATCAGACCCGGTTCTCCCAGATTAGAGTCCACACTCTTAACCACTACACCAAAAATACTTGGTAGCTGGGTTAAACCGGAAATACAAATCAGTGTGGTTGTGGAATAGGGCTGCCTCATTTGTGTTTTGAGCATCTCTGGTGTTGTTAATAGTTTTTGCCAAGCAGAAATTCAATAGGGGTGGTTTCCCCCAATTTGGAAAAAGGCTGTACCTGCTGAGTGTCTGCCTGTCACACAGCAATTTATAATCACTGGGAGAGGAATGGTTTTGGTGCAGAGTCCATGAAGACAGCTTAGAATTTGCAACTGGCGCAGAGGGCAGAAGTTAGATTGCAATCAGATGGACGTAGGCCAAAATCACCTCATGCTTGTATTAAAACAACTGCATTAGTTGCCAGCAATGCTCCCTCTAAGCTGTGGAGTCCTGTGAGCAAAACTTCTACTTTATGAGCTACTGGCATTAAAGCTGTGAGCCAGCGATTTGGCTCCTGCATAAATTAGTTTGCTCTGGAGCCATCCTTCCTGAGCGAAGACAAAAGTCAGTGAGCCGGAGGCTAGAAAACTGTGAGCTAGCTCACACTGACTCAGCTTAGAGGGAACACTGGTTGCCAGTACATCTCTAGGCCTGATTCAAGGTACTGGCTTTAGAGGATCTTGTTGCTGAGGTGGCAGCTGCTGCCAAAACAAAAACTGCACAGCCAGTCAAAACTCCAACGGCCCATCAGAAGCCTTGCCGGGCAAAAGCCCCACCTGCCCTGGGCCTCTTTCTAGAAACACTTGGCGGGCACCCGGAAAGATGTTAGCGGGTGACATTGTGCCCACGGTCGCCACGTTGGGGACCCCTGACCCAGAGCATCGTAATCCTTACCGTGGGCAATCTATTTAGCCCCATCTCTGTTTGTTTCAGATGGTTCTTGTGGTCAGCTTCTTCTTTTGGCTTCTTCCCCTGGCTATCTGTCCTACTTTTAATGTCGTTCTCATATGATGTTTTTCAATTTTTTATGACTTAAAAAAAACCTCTCTGTCTCCCCCCCCCCAAGTTTTGCTTAATTCTGCAGCTTTCTCTCACCTTTGTTTTCCCCAGCCAGTCTGTTCATGAGATAGGACTTTCCCGTCCGATAAAGTCCTGCTATAGCGACGACCGCTACTGGCTGGTTTATTTTAGAGAGCACCTGTAGAGCTTCCGGACAGACGGTAAGATTTTTTCCCTTGTTCTCAATCAGGCACATGGGAGCAGGCATATGGATTCTGGAGGCCATTGCAGGCGACCCAGAAGATCTTTGATGGGAGCTGATTAGGAAGGGGAAAAGAGGCAGGTAAAAAAAACTGGGTATTTTCACGTTCATGTAATATAAACACTTGGCGGGCACCCGGAAAGATGTTAGCGGGTGACATTGTGCCCACGGTCGCCACGTTGGGGACCCCTGACCCAGAGCATCGTAATCCTTACCGTGGGCAATCTATTTAGCCCCATCTCTGTTTGTTTCAGATGGTTCTTGTGGTCAGCTTCTTCTTTTGGCTTCTTCCCCTGGCTATCTGTCCTCCTTTTAATGTAGTTCTCATATGATGTTTGTCATTTTTTTATGACTTTAAAAAAAATTCTCTGCCCACCCACCCCTCCAAGTTTTGCTTAATTCTGCAGCTTTCTCTCACCTTTGTTTTCCCCAGCCAGTCTGTTCATGAGATAGGACTTTCCCGTCCGATAAAGTCCTGCTATAGCGACGACCGCTACTGGCTGGTTTATTTTAGAGAGCACCTGTAGAGCTTCCGGACAGACGGTAAGATTTTTTCCCTTGTTCTCAATCAGGCACATGGGAGCAGGCATATGGATTCTGGAGGCCATTGCAGGCGACCCAGAAGATCTTTGATGGGAGCTGATTAGGAAGGGGAAAAGAGGCAGGTAAAAAAAACTGGGTATTTTCACGTTCATGTAATATTCCGAACCACAGTTTCTGGAAATAATACGTATCTGCCACCAATGTTCCCTCTAAGCTGTGTAGTCTTGTGAGCAAAAATTCTACTTTGTGAGCTACTGGCATTAAAGTTGTGAGCGAGCGATTTGGCTGCTGCATAAATGAGTTTGCTTTGGAGCCCCATCCTTCCTGAGCTAAGACAAAAATGTGTGAGCTGGAGGCTAAAAATCTGTGAGCTGGCTCACACCAACTCAGCTTAGAGGGAACTATGTCTGCCACCGTATATACTTTAACAAAAATTAATCATTGTTGTCGTTTCCTGTGGCAAACACCCATGACTGAAGGAGCAGAAACGGGGGGGGGGGGGGGGGCGGCAATTGCCCTGGGCCTGGAATATGTGTGGGGTCACATCCAAAACAAACTTTTTGAAAGGACCAAATTAATCCTTTTAATTCACAGCAGCAAAAAGACTGGTGGAAATATAACCCCAGGGTGAAGATTAACTTCAGCATTTAGCGTTCCCTGCATGCTTCATTTACGTCACTGAACAATAGGGATGCCAGCCTCCAGGTGGGGCCTGGGGATCCCCTGGACTTACAGCTCAGGCTACAGAGATCAGTTCCCCTGGAGGAAATGGATGCTTGAAGAGGGGGGGTGGACTCTATGGCCTTGCGCCCCACTGAGGTCCCTGTCCTCCCCCAGGCTCTACCCCCCCCCAAACCTCCAGCAATTTCCAACCTGGATCTGACCACTCTCCCTCCTCCCATCCTCCACCAGGGGCCGGGGGTGTGTGTGGCAACCCTAACGACTCCTTGACCTACACATTTGATCAAGATGGGGTCACATCAAGCGATTATAAAATGGCCAACAGTCTGGCTGGAGGCTCTGGCAACTGGATCAGTTTTCCAGCCCCTTATCAGCTTTGGGCAGAATTGCCAAGTGGTGCTTCCTTGCAAGGCTCCGGTGCAGACGAAACGGGCTCTAATCCAGAAAAGCTTCTGCCACAGTCAAACTTTTCCGTTTGAATGAAATCTGGAAATTCAGAGAACCGAACTGACGATACGTCAGTTTCTGATTTTATTTTATTTTTTTAAAGCTCTGTGGTATGATATCTGAAGAAGTGTGCACGCACATGAAAGTTTATACCCAGAATTAAACTTGTTGGTCTTAGAAGTGCCACTGGACTCAAACTTTGTTCTTTTGTAGGCAGAGGCCCATTTTGCATCGAACATTCGCTCCACTCTTTTGCCAAATCCACGTTGAAACAGAAATTCCCTCTACGCTGCATGACACTTTCACTTTGATTGATTGTTGGTTTTATGGTAGCCGTCTGCATAGATTTATGGCCATTTTATGGCTATTTAGGGGTGACTCTGCAGTCAGTACGGCATTGGCCCGGGGTGTTTGAATGTGGTTTTGAGCCACATCTTTTTCTCCAGTGTGGGTTTGGTACGACAACAGAGCGAATGCTAGATGCAGAATGGGCCACAGATACGTTCCTTGACCATGGACGACTGAATAAAGACTTAATACTTTTTTTCTACTGAACATAGTAAAGGTAAAGGTTCCCTTGCTCGAAAGCCAGTCGAGTCCGACTCTACAGTTGCGGTGCTCATCTCCGTTTCAAAGCCGAAGAGCCAGCGCTGTCCGAAGATGTTTCCGTGGTCATGTGGCCGGCATGACTAAACACCAAGGTGCACGGAACGCTGTTCCCTTCCCACTGAAGTGGTACCTATTTATCTACTTGCAATGTCTTGCTTTTGAACTGCTAGGTTGGCAGGAGCTGGAACTGGAGACGGGAGCTCACTCCGTCATGCGGCACACTCGGGTCTCGAACGGCTGAACTACCGACCTTCCACAGCCTGCAGTTCAGCGTCTTAACCACTTGGGCCACCGCAGCTCCTGAACATAGTTCTACTTATTTGGATCCCTTCGACTGAACACAGACTTCTCCATCATCTTGCTGCAGGGGCTGATGGGCGGAGTTTTGTTCATAGACGTTCTACAGCAATACTTTCCTCTCAGTCACTGTAGCAACACCACTAAAGGATCCATTAAAAAAATATATATCTATAATTTATTTATATCCTGCCTTTCTCCCCACTGGGGACCCAAAGCAGCTTACATGGTTCTCCTACCCTCACAAGAACCCTGTGAGGTAGGTTAGGCTGCGAATGTGTGACTGGCCCGACGTCACCCAGGGATCTTCCGTGGCAGAGTGGGAATTCGAACCTGGGTCTCCCGGATCCTAGTCTGACACTTCAGCTCCCTACACCACACTGGTTCTCAATGCGTTCAAAAAGGACTAAGTAGAACCAGCATAGATGCGACTTCAAGAAGACTGCAGCTGGAGCAGCCGAAAAACAAGCACGGAGATATCAAGAAGTGGCAATCAAAAACACCCCAAAGTGACACAATTCTAGTCAACGCCCATCTCAGAAGGCAGGCCAGTTGGCCTAGGAGAAGATTCGTAATCTCCACAGGAGGCCTCCTCCTTTTCCAGTCAGGTTATGTGCTTCTGTCTGCCTCTGAAATCAATGAAGAACTCTAGTCTGATGTCTGAACAAAAAAACGTCTCCCTCAGTGGCCTTCAGAAATTAATGAAGGTTTGCGAAAGGTCTGCATTAGCATAGGGTTGCTAGCTCTGGGCTGGGGAATCCCTGGAGATTCGGGGGATGGGGGATCTGTGGAGGGTGGGGTTTGCGGAGAGTAGGGACCTCAGTGGGGTATAATGCCATAGGAGGGTTGCTCCTGCCCCTGGAGGCAGGGGTCCCCCACCGCCAAGCCCTGTTTCCCAGCCGCTGATCAGCTGGCCAGCGGGGAGACTCACCAGGAAAAAGAGGAAGGGCCAGCCCACGTTGCTGGCATTGCACAGGAAGTGACATCACGCCAGCGATATCCAGGTGAGGCTCAGGTGCATGGGCAAAAACTCTGCGGCAGAAGCTGTTTTTAGTATAGTTTTTGCCCAAATATCTGAGCCCTACAGTGGTGGCACAGAGTGATGGTGTCACTTCCTGTACAATGCCAGTGACATGGCCTGGAAAAGTCCCCCTTCCTGTCAGCTGCCAGGAAGGACCTGGCAACCCTATGCCATAGAGTCCACCTTCCAAAGCAGCCTTTTTCTCCAGGGAAATTGATCTCTGTAAGCTGGAGACCAGCTGTAATTCTGGGAGATATTCTCCACCCACCACCTGGAAACTGGTGCCCTCAGCATAGAATCTGGTTTGTTTTTAGTTTTTCCCATAAACCAGGTCAAAGGCTTATTTTTGATCCAGCTTAAAGGGGAAATATATATATGGGACCCAGACAAGTCATGCCAAATCAAATATGATCTTGATGCTCCCATATTGGGGGGGGGGGGATCTCCACATGGAAAAGCATCCATTGTTAGAAATGGCTGGAATGTTCCGTACAAAACAGGAAACATTTTCTGCTTTACTTGCCAGCTCTTTCACTCATCCACAACGACCCTTTTTTAGAAAGAGGGTTTTTTCTTCTGAACTGGATAAAGTTGTTGTTGTTGTTGTTGTTTTTAAGTCAAACATAATGAAAACAGTATTCAGCACCAACACAACACGATGATCTGGCTTTTACAGAACAATGCGGAATATGATAACATGAGCCTTTTACGAGCCCAATATCCAGTTAATCTGGAAAGCCATACTGAAGTATATCCAAAGAAGTGAGCAGTGACTCGTGAAAGCTCCTCCCCTGCCACATATTTTGTTAGTCTTTAAGGTGCTACTGGACTCTTGCTCTTTTCTACTGCTACAGACAGACTAACACAACTACACATCTTGACTACTGTTACTGTTTCTGCCAGAAAGGTTGCCCAGCCCCAAGTTGGGAAATACCTGGAAGTTTGGGAGGTGGAGCCTGAGGAGGGTGGGGTTTGGGGAGAGGAGGGCCCTCAGTGGGGTATAATGGCACAGAATCTGCCCTCCAAAGCAGCCATTTTCTCCAGGGAAACTGATCTAGATCACCTGGAGATCAACTGGTGATCTCCCCGAAATGACTTGACTTCACGGCGATGAGTGAAGTGGCGAGCAGTGACGGCAAGGAGGCGTAACACCAGCGGTGGATCAGATGACGGCGGAGGCGGAGCCAGAAGGCGCAGGAACGTAGAAGCGCAGGCGCGGCGGAGCCAAAAGGACATAGCCGGAGCCGGGCTGATGCGAACCATGCGCCAGATGGGCCCGCCGGAAACAACAGCTGACTCCGAAGACCACCGGAAGAAGAAGAGCCGAGCCGAAGCCGGACCGAGCTGAAGCCGAGCCGAAGAACAGCGAGTCCCACCATTGGGTGCCAGTAGGGCAGTCCCCACCCCTGACGATGTGGCCATAGATAGGGATAAATGAAATTGTGTAAGCCGCTCAGAGACCCCTCGGGGTTCGAGCGGGATACAAGTCGAAAGCATAAATAAATAAATAAACTGTAGTCCTAGGAGATCTCCAGCCACCACCTGGAGACTGTATAAACATAAAGACACTCCGTGAATGAATTACGAACCAAAGCAGAAAAATTGTATGAAACAATTCAAATATACGACGTGGAACTATTGTAGTCCTGAAGTTTTTTGTACTAAGGAATTGTGGACTTTAGTTGTGTTCCTACTTTATATCAAGTACTTTTTGAGCCAAGCTCTTAAAAATACACACACACACACGGGTTCCTTAACAAAGATTTCAAATTGTTTGAATTGTTTCATACAATATAATTTTTCTGCTTTTGTTCGTAATTCATTCACGGAGTGTCTTTGTATTTATACAATCTCCTCCCGTGAGCTCTCTTTTTTGATATAACGCCTGGAGCCTGGCAACCATCCCCCTTATGATAAACTTGACTCCAGCTGCAGGGTAAGATCACCCACCATGGACCTTACCTTGGATGACTGCAATGTGTTGCCCAGTTTCCTTCTCCTTGAGGACGTGAATCTGAAAACAGAGGGCCTACATTCCGTACATATCCCCCACAGATCTGCCACGAGCTAAATGGGCAAAAGGGGAATGAAGTTCATAAGAAAAAGGGGCCAGCCCTGCCCAGGGAGGGAGGGAGGGAGGGAGGCTCTCCTGATTTCCGAGAAATGTTTGTCTGGCAAGGAACGTTCTGCTTTCTCTTTCACTTTCCAGCAACGAACATTCACCCTGGCCTCATAACAACAGCAAAAAGAGAGCTTCTTTTTAACTGTTTCTCTTGAAAGGAAAGGCATCCACCCTGTGTTTCCATCCCACTCAGTCAGCTTCAGATGTTTTGCCCTTATTTCTTGGCATCCCCTGTGTGGAAGGGCACATATTCAATAACTCCTGTTAAGGCGGAGCCAGAGGAAGAGGGCTGCTGGACCAGCAGCCTTGGAAACCATTTGTGCCCTTAAAGCTACGTCAAAGGAGGTGTGGTTAGTGAGTGCTCATCTCTGCGGAACAGCGAAAGGGGAACAGAGACACCCCCAACCTTCCTCACAAGGCCTTTCTCTCTGGCTTTTGGAGATGAGGTTGGTGAAAAAGTAAATAAGGGAGGTGACTAAAGCAGATACCGTTATGATAGATACTGTTACGATACTGGGAGACATCATCAGCTACACCCTGGGTAAACATGTGCTGGAGTCATGCTGTTGAAATGAGGTTCCTAGACATCATAAAGGACTGTGCGCTGGAACAGCTTGGCACAGAGCCAACCAAAGGGGTAGTATCTTGGTCTTTTTTTTCCTTTGGTGTGAGAGCCAGTTTGGTGTAGTGGTTAAGTGCGTGGACTCTAATCTGGGAGAACTGGATTTGATTCCCCACTCCTCCACTTGCACCTGCTGGATGACCTTGGGTCAGTCACAAGTTCTTTCAGAGCTATTCTCTCAAGGGCAGTTTTTGGGAGAGCTCTCTCTCAGCCCCACCTACCTCACAGGGTGTCTGTCGTGGGGAGGGGAAGGGAAAGGAGTTTGTAAGCCGCTCTGAGACTCCTTTGGGTAGTGAAGGACGGGGTATAAATCCAATCATCTTCTTTCTCTCTTTCGATTTATATCCCGCCGTCCCCAGCAAGCGGGCTCAGGGCGGGTAAAGCGAGCTCAGGACTTGGTTCTGAGCAGATCTCAAAACTGGTGAGAGATATACAGGTTGTTGCGCAATGACCACAGTGCGATTAAATCCAGCATTCAGATCAATGGAAAGTTACCCCTAAAGAGGGAGGAGGAAAGAAGGTGTGGAAAACAAATGAAAAACAAAGACCAATGGATGAAGGTGTGGAAAACAAATGTAAAATCTACAAAAGTTATATCATACAAAGAAAAAATATATAAAATGTTTTGTAGATGGCATATAACTACAGAAAAGTTAGCAAAATGGTATCCAAATATGTCAAAAGTATGTTGGAAATGTAAACAAAGTACTGGCTCCTTTTTCATATGTGGTGGTATTCAGTGTTCCCTCTAAGCTGAGTTGGTGTGAGCTAGCTCACAGTTTTTTAGCCTCCGGCTCACACCTTTTTGTCTTAGCTCAGCAAGGAGGGTTCCAGAGCAAACTAATTTATGCAGAAGCCAAATGGCTCGCTCACTACTTTCATGCCAGTAGCTAACAAAGTAGAATTTTTGCTCACAAGACTCCACAGCTTAGAGGGAATATTGGGTATTGTAAGACAGCAAAAAAGATTTGGATATGGATACGTGAGATATTGCAAAAAATGCTAGAAATGACTATACTATTTGTACCAGAATTGTTTTTATTAAATATTATTCCAGAGAACTTTAGAAAACCAGATGCTCTTTACACTAAAACGGTTAAGATGGATTAGGTGCATAAAAGAATGATTCTACACATGTATAATTTAAGTACTTATAATGAGTATATGCTCCATCTTTGTTCTTTTGTTTTTTTGCTTTATGTTGTTCTCTTTTTGTATGTTTTCTGTTGTCAATGTTTTTTTCTTTTCTATGCTGAAAATTAATAAAACTTTTTTTAAAGGAAAGTTACCCCTAAAGTCCATAACTGTGACATGTGATTTCAAAAGAAGGAACTTTATAAAAATGAGGGGAATAGTAAAAAGGAAGCCGAAGGGGAAACACAAGTCAGATCCCTAGAGGATGTTTGGAAACCAGACAGAATGCATCCCCCAGGTTACAAAAGGCACTGCCGAGTGTAAAAGAACACCTGCGCAGTTAACAATGCAGGCCAAGGAAGCTATAAAAAGAGGCCTCTTTTAAAAAGTGGAAGGTCTGCCCCATTGACTTGAACTGGAGGGACAAAAGGCTGTGGCAAATTAAATGTAAGTCAATTATTAGACATTTTGTGGAGTGGGTTGCTAAAAGCATCAAGATAAACAATAAACATTTTTAAAAACACCTCCAGAGCAGGAAAACAGCCAGAGAAGCACTTGAGCCTTTGGTTGACAAAGGAATAAAGGGATCGCTAAACAAAGACGGGGAGATGGCAGGAAAGCTCTATGACTTTTTTACTTCTGTGTCCACTGTGGAAAGTATGGGGGCATGTACCCATGCCGCCACCACTATTTCCAGGAAAGGAGTCTCAAGAACTGAGCCAAACTGAGGTGACCAGAGATGAAGTTCTAGACCTACTGGGGAAATTAAAAACTAATAAGTCCTAGGGAACTCAAATATGAGAGTTGATCTACTAACCCGTATATGTACCCTATCACTAAATCCAGCAACTGTACAAGAAGACTGGAGAGCAGCAAATATTACACCAGTTTTTAAAAAGAGGATCCAGAGAGGAACCAAGAAATTACAGTCCAGTCAGCCTAACATCTGTTCCAGGCAAATCAGTAGAAACTGCAATCAAATATAGAGTTGTTAGGCCCATAGAGGGACAATGCCTGCTGAGGGAAAACCAGCATGGTTTCCGCAAAGGGAAGTCCTGCCTCACCAACCTTTTGGAGTTCTTTGAGAAAGTGAATAAGCATGTAGACAACAGTGACCCAGTAGACATTATATACCTGGTGTCAAGGAGTCCAACGCCAGACCCTGTGGGTTCCCAGGGTCTAGGCTGAGAGAGCATGACTGACCCAAGGTCACCCAGCGAGCTTCCATGGGGGCAAGTACGGATTCAAACCTGGGTCTCCCAGGTCCTAGTCCAACACTCTTAACCACTACACCACACTGGCTCATATTATTGCTAGCAAGAACTTCAGTGGTTCCTTCTGCAGGCGCACTTGTGAATTATTTTTCTGTTCTCAGCAGATGCTCACACAAGGCAAAGATTTCCTAAATACTATATTGGTTTTCTTAAAAGCAATATTTTTAACTTATTTATTTCGAAAGCTGATTATGCAGCTTTTTTGTCACACAAACACTCAGAATAATGATAAAACACTGATGAAATCCGGGAATGCAGTCCAAAGGAGATCTCCCGTCCTGCCTTTCTTCTGTCCCATCCACGCTCCATCCACAACCTCAATGCCAGGAGAAGAGTCCTCTGGGTCCTGGAGAGACACCGTTCTCAAGAGATAACACATTTTCTCTTACTCCTTCCTGAATTACTGATCCGGTTATTCAGATTTGCAATCTCAGACTGAAGTCTTCCCACTTCCCGCTGGTATCCTTCTTGCAACAGCCGGCTCTGCTCCTGTGGACGGGAGGAAGCAGAACAAAGTCAGTGCTGATTGCCACCTATATATCTCTGGCCAGTTTCTTCATACCCTCCCATGCATCTGACGAAGAGAGCTGTGTTTCTCAAAAAGCTTCTGCTACAATGAAGTTTGTTAGTCTTAAAGGTGCCACTTCGGCTTTTTACTATCATACAGCAACAGACTAACGCGGCTAACTCCTCTGGCTCCGTGTCAGAAAATGAACTTCAAAAACTGAATCTGGGCTAAGGACAGAGTCCGTTACGTTGTATTTCCCCCCCCCCAACACACAAGAGGGCAGATTACGTTCTTAATTTTATCCTCACAACAACCCTGTGAGATAGGCAGGCTAGGCTGAGAGACAGTGACTGGCCCAAGGTCACCCTGGGAGTGACACGGGCAAGCTAGGGTTGCCAAGTCAGAAACGAGCCGCAGCGGGGGACTCCTGGCTGGTGGCTGGAGCGCGTGCGCCGCATCCATGTCAACCGGAAGTGACGCGGGTACGCCGGGCACACTGGGGGCGGGGCCATGACCATCCGAGGGAAACGGGCCTCTAGGGCGGGGCTCCCCCGCCCCCCGGGGGGACTTGGCAAGCCTAGGGCAAGCAGGGATTCCTACCTGGCTGTCCTGAGTCCAATACTCTAACCCGGGGGGGTCCCCAGCTTTTTTGAGTCTGCAGGCACCTTTGGCGTTCTGACACAGTGCGATGGGCACAGCCACAAAATGGCCACCACAGGAGACAGAGCCACCCCACAAAATGGCCGCCACATCTTATCTGTAGTCACACAGTGAATATCCTTGTGCTGGGTGGCAGCCACTTTCAAAGCAGTATTTTTATTTTATTTTTTTAAACACCACATAGCCAATCAAATCTCCAATGGCCCACAGCAAACCTTGCTCGGCAAAAGCCCCACCTGGCCACTTGCTGGGCCCCAGGAAAGGTGTTGATGGGCACCATCAGCTCTAACCACTCCGCAAACTGGCTCTCTTTCCTTCTTTTAGAGGTTTTCCATTTCTCTGCTGTGTTGCCCCTTGTCATGATCCTGGGCCTATAGCAGTACGGCCTACAGGCTCCAGGGAGACCTAGTGGCTCCAGGGAAGCCTGCATTGGAGTAGCTATCAGGGCCTACTGTTAGATCGCCGCTAACAAAGATCCGGAGAGTGAGTTCAACAAAAGTGATCAGCTTTATTGTAGGTACGAACAAGCACTTGAAAGAAGTCATAACCAGAACAACTTAACATTGGGAGCTAGGCTCCTTTTAAACATTCCCGGGCTAACATAGCCACGCCTATTTACAATAAACAACCAATGAGGTTGCGCAGATAACGTCCAATGAAAGTCCTTCCCTCGCAGGGAATTGGTACAGTTATGATTGGTCGCTGTTGTGGAGTGACCAATAGCAAGTTGGCTCGGAGGAGCCTTCCTCTGGCTCGAGCTTAACATGGAGAGCTAATGCGGCGATTCAAGTAAGCCTTTTCGAATACACCACACCTACATTTCCCAGGTCACCCTCTGGACCCTGTGATTGGGTAACAGGGAATTTTGGAGGGAAAACTACACCAGCAGGGGAGCAGAGGGTGGGGCCTGGGAAGAAGGAATAAAAGGCCTGGCCCAAAGTTGGAGGGTGTTCTCTCTCTCAGGGAGCCAGGCTGGTGAGGCAGAAAGAGGGTTCCTTCATCCAAAGAGGGTGAGTCAGTCTAAGACCAGGTACCTAGGGAAGGCTAGGACCATACAGTCAGATGCATTAGGATTTATTATTTTACTGATTTACCTACTTTTACTGTGCTCATTTTTCCTACATGTTTTAAACTACAGCCATCTCTTTAATTAAACTAGTTACTCTGCCTGGGTCCTCAGCCCGTGTTCCCTCTAAGCTGTGTTAGTGTGAGCCAGCTCAGTTTCTTAGCCTCCGGCTCACACATTCTTGTCTTAGCTCAGGAAGGATGGCTCCAGAGCAAACTAATTTATGCAGCAGCCACATTGCTCACTCACAACTTTAATGCCAGCAGCTCACAAAGTAGAATTTTTGCTCACAAGACTCCACAGCTTAGAGGGAGCACTGGTCCTCACACCTCATTTGGTCACGTATAAAGGGAAACCTACTGGAAAAGTACTGTATAAAGGGGTAGGGTGGATGCTTTGGACCCTCCTGAAGAGACCCATACCAGAGTGGTGGCAGCCCTTAAAAGAACCTTGCTAGCCGCTGTCTGCGACACTCGTTATCCCACCATTTTTCATCTGCATACCTTAATAAACATTTCAAACAAACATGAGCTCAATCTGGCTACTTGCAGCTGACTGACTGACTGACTGACTGACTGAAGCCAATGATAAAACTTGTACAATTTTTTATCCACATTTTGTAACTGGGAGAAAAAATCCTGATGCAAACAGGTTCTGAACATTCTAGTCCAGGGAAGGGTGTGTCTAGGGGTCATTTCCTGCAGGAGTGCACAGGAGCGGAGCTCCAGCAGTAAAGAGCCCAGGGGGCGGGCAAATGCAACAAGCCCCACCCCTGCTCCCAGCAGCCCCAGGTCATGAGGAGCAAGAAGCCTCTTTCTCTCTCTCTCTTTCTTTCTTCACAGATCTATGCATTTCCCCCATAGCTATAAATCCAAAACAGTCCAGTGGCACATCTAAGACCAAGTTTTATTCAGGTACAAGCGCTCCCTCTGCGAGGACAGATCTGCATGTCCCCCCCCCCCTCCAAATAGCTAGCAATCCAAAAGAGTCCAGCGGAGCCTGAGTGGTGAGTGTTGCCTTCTGACACACTTCCATATGCAAATAAGTTATGCTAATGAGTTATGCTAATGAGCTCCTGCACCTCTTTTTCTACGAAATGACCCCTGGGTGTGTCCATGGCATACAGTAAGTCCTAACAATGGAATGTGGCTCAAAAAATGATGGTCACAGTCACAGAACAGACCGCAAAAAGAAGAAAGAAACTGTGAGGTAACTGTGCTTGTCTTGTATATTTGTATAATTTTCTGCACACATTTTTGTACAATTTTGTGATTATTATTGAAATATTATCTAGCGCATTATTATTGAAATATTATCTAGTGCAGTTACCTCACAGTTTCTTCTTTTTGCGGTCTATACAGTAAGTCCTTTACAGGATCCCTGACATTTCTCTTTACAGATCTCAAGGAGCTCCTGGGTGAGCAAGACTATTGCCCGTCTGGAACCCTGAAGAGCTGCTACCAGCCAGGGTAACAGATGTGGAGCTAGACAGACCAACAGCCAGACTCAGTATAAAGAAGCTTCGCAAGACACAAAAGCCACTTATTCATGAGCCACGTTTCCTGATCCGGGTCCTCCGGACAGAGCAGCATACATTCAGAGGCAAGGGATGACTGTTACCTGGAGCTTGTGGTTCAGCACCCTCTCATGTTCCCTCTGCTGCCTCCTATGGTCCTCCTCCATCTTGGCCTCGAGCTGTGCTTTGTGCGCCCTGAAACTCCGTTCGTTTTCTTCAGCCATCCTCTGGGTCTGTTCTCTCAGCTGTCGCTGTAGCTCAGCTTCCCGCTGAGAGGCCGCAGCCCGGGCCTTTTCCGCTGCAGGGGGGAAACCAAAACAAAATGGGAACTGTATATCCACCCTCACCTGGGTGGTCCAGGCTAGCCTGATGTTGTCAGATCTTGGAAGCTAAGCAGGGTCGGCCCTGGTCAGTATTTAGATGGGAGACCCCTCAGGGGTTGCTATGAAGAGGAAGGCAATGTCAAACCACCTCAGAACGCCTCTTGCCTTGAAAACCCTATGAGGCATTTCAATCACTCTCTGTGGGAAGAGGAGGAAGAAAAAGAAGACCTCACCCTTCACATTCAGATTCAGTGGGACTTCCCCGCAAACATGTACAGAGTTGGGCTGCAGAGCTACGACCTCCTGGGGTATCAGAGACTAGACAAACACAACCGCCTGTCAAAGAAACAGGTTTTCAAGGCACTGGAAGCCCTACGAACCTTCAATCTCCTTCTGCCGGTCTGTGAGATTCCGGTCAGCCTGCAGAATGGACTGGGCTGCTGTCTCCTTGGATTTCAGGAAGTCCTGCAGGGCTATCGAAGCCTTGAGTGAAACAGGGAGAGAGCGAGATGGTTTGTTTGAGTTTGCAATTCTCTTCCACGCAAGGGAGGCTCTGTAAATGAGTGCACATTCTCAGATTCAGCTGTGCGGTTCACCCAAGCAGTGGTGAACAACAGGAATCCAGGCCTACTCACCATTAGTCCTTTCTGAGGTGTCTGGTGATACCTCTCCACTGTTTTCCTCTGGTCCTCCAGAAAACATTGGTAGCCACCTGGTACTGCGTAGCGTCCGTTACAGATCTTCTCCTCCAGATCCTGGAACAGCTCCAAGAGCACGGCCTGGCAGCGATCCAAGGACGCCTGCTCATTATGGCTGCAGATTTCCTCGAGCTTGGTTTGGATCTGGTTCTAGGGGTGGAAGGGAAGAAAAAACACATAGTAGACGCTCTCTGATGAAGGAAGGATACTACATCCAGCACCGTGCCTTTCTCTTCCTCACATGGATTTCTACTGTTAGGTTAAATTCTCCTGCTCATATCCTTCAAACAGAGGGTATCACAAGGTACATCCATCAGGAAAGTTAGTGGGTTTTTTAATAAGACACGTTTCTGGAATAGAACCCAGAAGTGAAGCCTGACTCAGGAAACTGAGTTAGAGATGCAGGTCTGAACTGCATTAGCTGGTTCTGTTATTCCCACCCTGGGGAAAATAACAGCAAAGGCCTACTCAAGGAGCCTGTTCAGCAACCAGTTTCCTTGGTCGGCCATTCTGAGACATAATACACATGCCCTATCCCCTAAAAAACCCTTTCCAGTGTGAGAATTAATGGGGCAGCCTAGAAGAACAAGGAGACCTCTGCCAGAGCCATCAGCAACCTACCAGTATGACCCACTCAATTAATGGCTGGTCTACCTGTCCTATGCACCAGACTCTTCTGCATTCTCAGTTTCCTCACCTGTGTGTCCCAAGTGCTTTGTTCCCCCCCTCTTTTCTGTATCTATTTTACTCCCTCTAGTGGTCGATTCGATATTACATTGTTGTATGTCCGACAAGAAGCCCTGCAGTTTAAATCTGCAGGGAGATATGCCAGACATACAGTGATGCAATATCAAATCAACCACTAGAGGGAGCATAATGTGCAGAAAAGAAAAAAATAAGGCAACAGGGACACACACACATCGAAAATGAGAATGCGGAAGAGCCCACTGTGGTGGTCTCTGCTGCCACACTTGTCAATCAGATCCTGAACTTGGGTAAAATTGTTGGGGAAAGTACCTGTTTTCTCCAGTCTCTCTCTCTCTAAACCATTCCTCTTAATTTGGACATGAATAGAAACAAACTTTTATAGCTTCTGGGTGGGATTGGGTGTTTCTTTTTTTTAAAACGTACACTCTCCGCACGCATGGGGCACAAAAGCGCAATGTGCTGGTATGTGCTGTGCATGATCCAGAGAATCTGCACCAGAATCACAGGGGTTTTGTTACACGTGTATCACGTGTGTCAGCATGAAAAAGGTTAACTGAATGTTCAGGGGCAGCCCCGTAGCCCGAACTTCACAGAACTCCAGGACAGAGAACGGGCAATGCTGGCATCCCCAACCACAGCCACTGGCCACAAGGGCTCTTCCCTGTGCTGGGTTGCTCTGACAGAGGGCCAGGGGAGTGGACAAACAAAATCCAGGCAGGAAAAACAGTTCGGCACATCTCCAGGCTTGACAGGGCTCTGCCTAAAAATGGCAGGGAGGCCATCTGAGAGTAGGGGCCATGGGATGCTAGGCCAACTCAGCTGGGCAGGGCAAACCCTCCAATGAGGGAAGGAACCAGAACAGGCAGGCCAGTAAAGCTAAAGTTTCCCTTGCTCGAAAGCCAGTCGAGTCCGACTCTAGGGTTGTGGTGCTCATCTCCGTTTCAAAGCCGAAGAGCCAGCGCTGTCTGAAGATGTTTCCGTGGTCATGTGGCCGGCATGACTAAACACCAAGGCGCACGGAACGCTGTGACCTTCCCACCGAAGTGGTACCTATTTATCTACTTGCAGTTTCTTGCTTTCGAACTGCTAGGTTGGCAGGAGCTGGAAGTAGAGACGGGAGCTCACTCCGTCATGCGGCACACTCGGGTCTCGAACTGCTGAACTACCGACCTTCCACAGCCTGCAGTTCAGCGTCTTAACCACTTGAGTCACCGCAGCTTTGGCAGGCCGGACTGGCCATAATAAAAGCCATGCCTGACTAGAAGCCATGCCTTCTCTTTGCTTCCTGTGAGTGGGGGAGGAAGCTAATCCCACAGAAAGCTGGGACAGATGAGTGGGTGGGCCAAGCCAATAGGGACCTGCTT